AGGACTCAGAGAGACATGAGGAGAGCTGGAGCTCTGATGGAGTCAGGACTCAGAGAGACACGAGGAGAGCTGGAGCTCTGATGGAGTCAGGACTCAGAGAGACACGAGGAGAGCTGGAGCTCTGATGGAGTCAGGACTCAGAGACATGAGGAGAGCTGGAGCTCTGATGGAGTCAGGACTCAGAGAGACACGAGGAGAGCTGGAGCTCTGATGGAGTCAGGACTCAGAGACACGAGGAGAGCTGGAGCTCTGATGGAGTCAGGACTCAGAGAGACACGAGGAGAGCTGGAGCTCTGATGGAGTCAGGACTCAGAGAGACACGAGGAGAGCTGTAGCTCTGATGGAGTCAGGACTCAGAGACATGAGGAGAGCTGGAGCTCTGATGGAGTCAGGACTCAGAGAGACACGAGGAGAGCTGTAGCTCTGATGGAGTCAGGACTCAGAGACATGAGGAGAGCTGGAGCTCTGATGGAGTCAGGACTCAGAGAGACACAAGGAGAGCTGGAGCTCTGATGGAGACAGGACTCAGAGAGACACGAGGAGAGCTGCAGCTCTGATGGAGTCAGGACTCAGAGAGACACGAGGAGAGCTGGAGCTCTGATGGAGTCAGGACTCAGAGACACGAGGAGAGCTGGCAGCTCTGATGGAGTACAGGACTCAGAGAGACACGAGGAGAGCTGGAGCTCTGATGGAGTCAGGACTCAGAGAGACACGAGGAGAGCTGGAGCTCTGATCAGAGAGAGCCTGGAGCTCTGATGGAGTCAGGACTCAGAGACACGAGGAGAGCTGGAGCTCTGATGGAGTACAGGACTCAGAGGACACGAGGAGAGCTGGAGCTCTGATGGAGTCAGGACTCAGAGACTCGAGGAGAGCTGGAGCTCTGATGGAGTCAGGACTCAGAGAGACACGAGGAGAGCTGGAGCTCTGATGGAGTCAGGACTCAGAGACACGAGGAGAGCTGGAGCTCTGATGGAGTCAGGACTCAGAGAGACACGAGGAGAGCTGGAGCTCTGATGGAGTCAGGACTCAGAGACATGGGGAGAACTGGAGCTCTGATGGAGTCAGGACTCAGAGAGACACGAGGAGAGCTGGAGCTTTGATGTCAAACACTGACGGTTTATTTGGAGCTTCTGCCGGAGAATTCACGAGACATGTCACGAGCCACGGTCTGACCACACGGATGAGATGCCACAATCAAATCTGCAGAGCCCTCCTGTAGCTCCAGGTTTGAACTAGTTCAGAGTGTAATAATCAACATTCTTCAATAGAGAGACTGAACAGCTGAGGACACTGAATCACAGTTGTTGTCTCTTATGGCTCGAGGTCATCTACACCCTGAGAAGGATGTGTTCCAGGTGTCCCACAACAATGACTATCTCTGACCGAGAGCTGCCCGCTCACAAACTGGTCACATCAACAACTTGCTAGGGCAGCCCCTCCTTAAGGGGGATAACACTAGCAATAGTGCAAGACGAGTCTATATACAAGTAAATGGAATTATGTATTAGATAAATCATTTGCAAAATGCAAACTGATGAATGTTTATGGATGTTCTTCACAGAGTTCAGGTGTTTAAGAGCCTCATGGCCTGTGGATTAAAACTGTCCCTGAGTCTGGTGGTGACATTGAGGTGTTATGAATAACGAAGGGACAGTTTTATCCGTCTTCAAACTTTAATATCATTCTACCATACGTGTGAATGGAGTGTGATCTTACCTTGTGCCAGACTCATGTACATGCAGGTGAGGATCAGGAGGAAGAACAGAGCGGGGAACTTCATGGCTGCTGTCGTGCGGATCGCTGCAAAGACACAATCTGATTCAATCCCAGAAAGAAACACACACAATTAGAAGCAGAGTTTCCCACCCGTCTCTGTGTTGCACATTTTGGCTGCTGTTCGCATTTTCCCATCACAAACCCCTCCAACTGAGTTCTTGAGAAAGACACAGGTCATGTCTTCGACCCCTGATTACATTTTTTGTAATCCTTGTCTTGTTTCCAGCTGTGTGCAGATGTTTCATCTCAAGCTTAATGAGTTTACATCAAACAATTTGTGATTAAGTTTGGCTGAATTCACTGGCAGCATGTTATCTTGTAAACTCCCCAGCTGCAACGCATAACAGCACAAGCACATACTCAGCATTGCAAAAGCACCAGGAGAAGCAGGAGATTGTTCATTAGCGTGCGGAGGAACGTACCTGCTCACATTCAGTATTTCACAAGATGCGTCCTGGAGGAAAAGCTTTTTGTCCAGAAGCCTGTAGTGGCTCTTATATTCACGCATGGAATCTGCCCTCCCTCCCTCACCACACCTCCTCTGGCATGTCAACAACACTCCACGTTTTACAACCCCTCAGTGAAATTTGATCACTGAATCCCAAAAGGCCGCCCCCCGCACACACACACACACACACACACACACACACACACACACACACACACACACACACACACACACACACACACACACACACACACACACACACACACACACACACGCACGCACGCACACACGCACGCACACACACACACACACACACACACACGCACACACACACACACACACACACACACAAAAGTCCTAGCATAGTTGTTGGCAATCTTAAATCCCAGGCTCCGACAACAATGCAACATAAATAATAAATATGTTGAAATGTTATAAATGAAAGTGAAATGCAGGAATAAGTACTGGGTGTGTCTGAATGTGAGAGCAAACCTATGAGAACATCCGCATGTTGGGATTAAAGAGTACCCTCAGTAGAGTTATATAGCAATGCTTTAATGATAATATCTAAAAAACCCTCTGTATTGTTCTTGTCCATGAAGAGGTCAGAGGTCAGGTGCTCTTTAGAGATGTCAGTGCCCTCTGGAGCAGCCGGGCGGACACTTTCTCACACAGATCTTATCTGACAGCTGTCCAGATGTGTGACACCCTTTCAAAGCTTAAGTGTTTATCATGTATAATAAGGTCCATGTTAAAAAGCTCACTTCCCTCTACAGCTGAAACCATTTTACACTCCATTCTCTTTCCCAGGAATATGAAATCCATCATGATTTAAACGGCATGCTGTCCCCCTTTGCACCGTTATCATTCACACTGACTTGTTTTCCTGCAAAGTCCAGCCTGCACATTTGTTCAGGCATTTAGGGAGGCTGGTTCAATCCCCCTGCAGTCAGCATGTCGTTGTGTCCGTAGACAAGACACTTCACCCCACATGGCTCCTGGGGGGATTGCTCCACAGTATTGAATGTCTCTTTAGATAAACAAGTGACATGTAATGTTTACCGTGGTGCTGCTGAATGAACCCTGAATAAAGAACATTTGAGATAAATAAATGAACACGCAGAGAAGGCCCTCAGTTGGCCCGTATTCTGACCAGATGAATGTTTCTGCAGCTTTCAAGCTTCAATGCAAGTTCCTTTTTGATTAACAGCATATGTGGGTGATCAACTGTGTTTGCATAACTGTGTGCAACTGTGTGTACAAGTGTGTTTGTGTAAAGGTGGATGTTCTAACAGCAGCATGGGGGCTGTGGGGGCGTCCCGACCCTTCAACCTTAACCCTTATGGGAACTCGTGTAAAAAAATACCTAAAATTGATGAAATCCTGACAAATGTTTAAAAAACCAGTCAGGGAAATATTATCTTTAAAGACCCTTGAGATCTGGCCCTCTAAAAGTTTTCAGTGGAGACACCTCGGTCTTTTTAATGTTTTCTAAACATAGCATGTTGAAAAGTCTGGCATAGATTTTTTTCCCCCCCCCCTTTAAACTGGGTTTTTCTCTGGAAGTTTTTCCTTGTACGATGTGAGGGTCTAAGGACAGAGGGTATAAGGACAGAGGGTCTAAGGACAGAGGGTCTAAGGACAGAGGGTCTGAGGACAGAGGGTCTAAGGACAGAGGGTCTAAGGACAGAGGGTCTAAGGACAGAGGGTCTAAGGACAGAGGGTCTAAGGACAGAGGGTCTAAGGATAGAGGGTCTAAGGACAGAGGGTCTAAGGACAGAGGGTGTCGTTTTTCTCCTACTGATATTCTGAACAATCTGTGTTGTTGTATTTGCTGTAAAGTGTCTCTATAGGCTATTTGTATTTTATGTACAGCACTTTGGCTCCACCAAACATCGTTTATAAATGTGCTATATAAATAAAACTTGATTTGATTTGATGTCTTGTTGTTAGTCGAAGAACCTTGTGTTCTTCTGTTTTTTGCTGCTGCATTGTGGGTCCTTTTCAAACATGAAATGCACTTGACATGCTTGCTACTACATAGGGGACCTCGGACAACTTATACAAAACACTGAAGTCATGAATCTTACCTGTCAAATACAGAGGATGTGACCTTAGTGTACTCAGTGTTCCCTACAAGAGAAACTTATTTAGGAATGTATGACTGTCTTGCTAGGTAACAAAATAAATACTAGGAAAAAGGCAAGGCTTTATAGTCGAACTGTATCATCTAGATAGATATAGATAGATAGAGAGAGAGATATATGGATAGATATATGGATAGATAGATAAATTGATGGATAGATAGATAAATAGATGGATGGATGGATAGATAGATGGATAGATGGATAGATAGATAGAGAGAGATATATATATATATATATATATATATATATATATATATATATAGAGAGAGTTAGGTATCCTTTTGCAGAATTTTTTTCCCAAATTCTAGAGAGTGGAGCATAACCAGACTGTTTGTACTTGTGGTGTAATCCGTCTTTGAGGGGGGTGTTATTTTTTTGAGTAAAAGATCTGATCTGCTCGAGTAGCCTGTTTACTTTTTAGTTTTAGTGTTTAGTTTGCACAAGATTGTAAGAACGTACAAGAAACACTGCACCGCCATCTAGCGGTCAGCAGTCAGAACAGCATCCCATTCAAGAATCCATTCAAGAACTCCAGTTCCGGGTTTTGGGATGAGACCCGTCCCTCACTCCCCTCCACATCCTTACCGGGTTTACCGGAGCCGTCACCGACTCATCCATGTGGGCGTTACCGACCGGCTCGCTTCCATAACAGCCACTAAGCAACCAGCAGTCAATCAACACACTGCAAGTCATCCTGACTACATATTTTTTGTTCTAACAGTTGTATAAGTACAGTTGTGTGTGCTAGCCAGCTCTTACTCAGCAGTTTTACACTGACCAGCCACCTGTCAGCTCGCCACCGAAACACCACATGGATCCTCAGAACAACATGGAAAATGAGGCAAAGATGTTCCTGAGCCACGCGAAGACTCTCAGGCTGCACACCGGGAATATAGTCAACCGAAGCCGGCTGAAAAAGAAGTGTCCGTGCTCCCCCAGCGAAGAGGTAAGCTAGCGTGAATAACGGTCAACATTCAAAAAACACCGGCCGTTGGTTAGCTTGTTTCAGCCGTTGGTGTGACAGTTTAGCTTCTTAGCTTAGCCTTTGAGTTAACAGTACCTGTCTTAATAGGTAACTTGCTAACCTTTCTAGTGTGTGTTTACTGATAAAAAGCACTGTTAGCGGCCCATAAAGACTTATATAAAGAGCTATTTAAAAGTGTACTTGTCGGGGTCAGAAGTAACTAGAGATAGATAGTTAGAGACTTTATTCATCCCAAATTGGGACAGTAAAAAAAAGTTATATCACAAATAATGTTTGATTAAAATGTTCTATAAAAGACAGTAATACTACAGCAACAGAAATATAGACTTATACTACACGAGCAGAAACACATAGGCTAGTATATCAATTACAGCTGTAACTAAGTAAACTAAATATATTTACTCAAGTAGCATACTCAAGTACTTTTTTTTAAAAACATTTCTGACTTAAGAGTTCTACTTTAACAGTAGAAGACCATAGTATTTGTACTTTTACCGAAGTAAAGGATCTGAGTACTTCTGTCACCTCTGCAGGAATGTGTCTGAGAGGGTCAGCTTGAAAGTTGGAGTTTGAGTGTAAACACTGGGAACTATCTCCTAACTGGATTGAAGAATCCAATCCTCGACTACCTGTCGAGCACTGTTGCACCTGTTGGCACTGACTGCATGGACGTGCACTGAATACAGACGCGGGGGCAATTCCTCAAAGAACTGGTTAAGACTTGTTTCTTTTTACAGCATTGCTTCAGTTGCTGTCTAACAAGTTTAACATCACCTGCGGGTTTCCTCGAAATATATTGCCTGAGGTGTAATACATACACTTCGTTGTGGCTTCAGTCCAACGTTTATTAAATAATCTTTTATTGTTCAGATCAACAATAAAGAAAGTCATGGTTGACATACTGTTGACTACAGGATACAGATATAATATGACATAATGTGGCTGATATCCAACACAAAAAAGTACATAATACAGAAAAATGCTTTAAAAAGTCATTTAGACGCCCCATTGTCTCATCGACCTTCTCTTTCTGATAGGTCTCGTATCCTCTTTCAAGAGTCTGCAGTAATGCTGCATATTTCAAAGGAGTCACTAAAATTGTATTATTTTAAAAAGCGATTAAAGCAATATTCAAGTTGTAATATGAGTGAGAGCCAAACAAATGTGGATGCTTGAAGTTGTCCTAAGTCTATCATTCGAAGTAATCTGAGCCTATGTATCTTCCATTCACATTATTTCTAACTTTGAATGAGCCAGCTGTGCAACCCTGTGACTGCAGCTGAAGTTTGAACCGGCTCTGCTCCCAGTCTGTCTCTCCTGCTCAGCCTGACATCTCAACGTTTGGATTTGTTTGACATTTTCTTTCAAACATCCATAGTCTACTTTACGGATGCAGCTGGCCTTCTCGTCACACTTATCCTTATGTAAATAGTTTGAAAACAAAGCATTCATCAGCCCTTCTTCTCCTTGTTTGTTTTTCCAACTGATTTCATTGTTTATAATAAACCGCGACCCTTGAGTTTTTGCCTCGGCATGTCACAGATGTCCAGATGTTGTTATGGGGTCTTCAGAGGATAACAATGCTGCGACAGATGATCTTTAAACTTTGTTTTCTGTTTGGTATTTCAGCTTCAAGACTGCATTCAAGCCGCACTGAGTGATTGGAAGGCTGCCACAAAACCGCCATCCAATGTAAGGACACGTTTACACTTCTCATGTACAGCTGGTTCTCAACGTCTCCTAAACCTGTTTTGCATGTTTGGCATCGACACAGAGGAATAAACAATAGTATTTGCATTGATGGCGATGAGTGGTGGTCCGACTCTAGCTTTAACAAAGCGCTGCAGAACACAAGCGGTCGGGCAGCAGAGGTCTAGTGCTTGGGAAAGTAAAATAACTTTAGTGATGACATCAAAGGATGCCTGCAGGCGCGCTGAAAGGAAGCTGTCATGATGAATGTTCATGCAGTGCTGGCTGCCAAAGGCGCCATTCAGAGAGTGCGTCTGTGCGGGGGGGGGGGGGGCACAGAAACGTTGCTCTGGTGGGTTCATTCATAAAGTGTGATCGGACTTCAAATAGTCAGTGTGAGTAGATTTCATCAAACTAACAACATATGTGGAATGGAGATCACAGTCACTGAGCGATCATCTGTAGGAACCCGCCATTCCTGTTTGACACGCCCTGGCTGCTTCACTAGGCCTCTACCACGCCCACTGGACACGAACGGGGATGAGGGAGGTTTGGAAGAGTTGAACTAAGGGGTCTTTATACTTGCACATACAACAGGTTTTAGACACATCCCCTGCAGGGAAATAGCAAAGACAGGACCTTTGAGTCGGGTTTCATGTTGGGAACGAGACTGACTTTACTGCGGTTGGATCGACATAAAGGCGTCAGCATAATGTCGCTGTTACATATGCACCAACTAAATGAAGCCGCCTCAATGCCACCTTTTGATTAAGAGTCCTTTCCACAGAGAGGACACATGTTGATGTAGAAGAGACATGAAGAAGAGGGGACACATGTTGATGTAGAAGAGACATGAAGAAGAGGGGACACATGTTGATGTTGAAGAGACATGAAGAAGAGGGGACACATGTTGATGTAGAAGAGACATGGAGAAGAGGGGACACGTATTGATGTAGAAAAGACATGAAGAAGAGGGGACACATGTTGATGTAGAAGAGACATGAAGAAGAGGGGACACATGTTGATGTAGAAGAGACATGAAGAAGAGGGGACACATGTTGATGTAGAAGAGACATGAAGAAGAGGGGACACGTGTTGATGTAGAAGAGACATGAAGAAGAGGGGACACATGTTGATGTAGAAGAGACATGAAGAAGAGGGGACACATGTTGATGTAGAAGAGGCATGAAGAAGAGGGGACACATGTTGATGTAGAAGAGACATGGAGAAGGAGGGGACACATGTTGATGTAGAAGAGACATGAAGAAGAGGGGACACATGTTGATGTAGAAGAGACATGAGGATAGAGGGGACACATGTTGATGTAGAAGAGACATGAAGAAGAGGGGACACATGTTGATGTAGAAGAACATGGAGAAGAGGGGACACATGTTGATGTAGAAGAGGCATGGAGAAGAGGGGACACATGTTGATGTAGAAGAGACATGGAGAAGAGGGGACACATGTTGATGTAGAAGAGACATGAAGAAGAGGGGACACATGTTGATGTAGAAGAGACATGAGAAGAGGGGACACATGTTGATGTAGAAGAGACATGAAGAAGAGGGGACACATGTTGATGTAGAAGAGACATGAGAAGAGGGGACACATGTTGATGTAGAAGAGACAAGAAGAAGAGGGGACACATGTTGATGTAGAGAGACATGAAGAAAGGGGACACATGTTGATGTAGAAGAGACATGAGAAGAGGGGACACATGTTGATGTAAGAAGACATGAAGAAGAGGGGACACATGTTGATGTAGAAGAGACATGAAGAAGAGGGACATGTTGATGTAGAAGAGACATGAAGGAAGAGGGGACACATTTGATGTAGAAGAGACATGAAGAAGAGGGGACACATGTTGATGTAGAAGAGACATGAAGAAGAGGGGACACATGTTGATGTAGAAGAGACATGAAGAAGAGGGGACACATGTTGATGTAGAAGAGACATGAAGAAGAGGGGACACATGTTGATGTAGAAGGAGACATGAAGAAGAGGGGACACATGTTGATGTAGAAGAGACATGAAGAAGAGGGACACATGTTGATGTAGAAGAGACATGAAGAAGAGGGGACACATGTTGATGTAGAAGAGACATGGAAGAAGAGGGGACACATGTTGATGTAGAAGAAGAGACATGAAGAAGAGGGGACACATGTTGATGTAGAAGAGACATGAAGAAGAGGGGACACATGTTTGATGTAGAAGAGACATGAAGACGAGGGGACACATGTTGATGTAGAAGAGACATGGAGAAGAGGGACACATGTTGATGTAGAAGAGACATGAAGAAGAGGGGACACATGTTGATGTAGAAGAGACATGAAGAAAGGGGACACAGTTGATGTAGAAAGACATGAAGAAGAGGGACACATGTTGATGTAGAAGAGACATGAAGAAGAGGGGACACATGTTGATGTAGAAGAGACATGAAGAAGAGGGGAGACACGTTGATGTAGAAGAGACATGAAGAAGAGACCTTTAAGACTATCTGGTATTTCTATCAGAAACAGGGTTAACACATACGAGGAATTTGACTTGGTGTCGTGGTGCATACATACAAATAAAACAAATGTAAAACACAGATAGAAAACTATAATAACATAAAATATATAATCTGGTTAAATAAAGGTTTAAACCATTTTTTTTGTCAGTCTCACGACGGTATTGATATAGATTTATTTATCGCGATATTCAATATGTCGTTACATCCCTAGTTATTCATGTTTTATTATCTTTTGCTTTTTAATGTTTCTAATGTGTTTTATGCTCAATGTCTCATTTTGTAAAACACTTTGAATTGCTTTGTGTTGAAAAGTGCTCTATAAATAAACGTGCCTTGAATAATGGTCCCAAAGATGTTTCCCTAAATGAAGTGCTTTCCTTTTCCTGAAGGACTTCCCCGACACGCTGGACTGCTCCATCCCGCAGCCGACAGACGCCATCCCCCCCGAAGAGAGGGAGGAGCTGAGGGTCTCAGGTCAGTACAGAACTCAATATCTAAATGTAATGTGACTCTTGATCAGCTGCATGTCAGCACAGGTTACTGTGGAAACATCTTTTAAATTCCCTGCTTCAACCAGATTTGTTCCAAATAACTGTTCTTATCTTTAAGTCATACCAGTGATGTGTGGGACATCTATTTACTGCTTGTTTTCACAGTGAAGCTGTTCCTGTGCGAGGCGGGTGAATCCTCCATCAGAGACGCCGTGGAGATGGGTGAGCTTCAGATCTCTGCAGCTAAACCTTAACATGCCTTAAAGGTCCCCTATTGTACTGTTTCTCATCAATATATCACAGGTCTCAGATATATACAGAGCCTGTCTCTGATTGGCTGAAACACCAAACAGATCATTGCAGCAGTACCCATAATCCCCTCTGTTCTTGCTCAAACAGAGGTGGGAAGTAGTGGAGTACAAATACTTCGTAAAGTACATTTTTCTGGTACCAGTACTTTACTCCACTACGACTTTTAACTTTGACTTCTTACATGTTGAACACAAATACCTGTACTTTCTACTTCATACATGTTGAACACTGTGAGCCTCTCCGCTCACACAGTGTTCAAATAGGGACGGAAAGAGCAGGTTGGTTTATCACAGGCGTTTATTAGCTCCAAACAAAGTATACACGGGTCTCCAACGTTCCCGTGTGGGAACCTTCACAGGTCCTTTGGTGACCTTCCAGTATCCCGCCTACTGCAAAACAGACCAGAACCAGTTTACGACATGCTTTTATTCCGGCACTGATTACCTGATTCCGATCAGCTGTCTGGCCTCCGGCCGAGCCACTCCCTTCACTCCAGCAGCCGGCGCCCTAAGCACACCCCGCTGCCACAAACACTAATACCTGTACTTTCTACTTCTTACATGTTGAACACAAATACCTGTACTTTCTACTTCTTACATGTTGAACTCAAATACCTGTACTTTCTACTTCTTACATGTTGAACACAAATACCTGTACTTTCTACTTCTTACATGTTGAACTCAAATACCTGTACTTTCTACTTCTCACATGTTGAACCAAATACCTGTACTTTCTACTTCTTACATGTTGAACTCAAATACCTGTACTTTCTACTTCTTACATGTTGAACTCAAATACCTGTACTTTCTACTTCTTACATGTTGAACTCAAATACCTGTACTTTCTACTTCTTACATGTTGAACTCAAATACCTGTACTTTCTACTTCTTACATGTTGAACCAAATACCTGTACTTTCTACTTCTTACATGTTGAACTCAAATACCTGTACTTTCTACTTCTTACATGTTGAACTCAAATACCTGTACTTTCTACTTCTTACATTTGAACACAAATACCTGTACTTTCTACTTCTTACATGTTGAACTCAAATACCTGTACTTTCTACTTCTTACATGTTGAACTCAAATACCTGTACTTTCTACTTCTTACATGTTGAACTCAAATACCTGTACTTTCTACTTCTTACATGTTAACTCAAATACCTGTACTTTCTACTTCTTACATGTTGAACTCAAATACCTGTACTTTCTACTTCTTACATGTTGAACTCAAATACCTGTACTTTCTACTTCTTACATGTTGAACTCAAATACCTGTACTTTCTACTTCTTACATGTTGAACCCAAATACCTGTACTTTCTACTTCTTACATTTGAACACAAATACCTGTACTTTCTACTTCTACATGTTGAACCAAATACCTGTACTTTCTACTTCTTACATGTTGAACACAAATACCTGTACTTTCTACTTCTTACATGTTGAACTCAAATACCTGTACTTTCTACTTCTACATGTGAACACAAATACCTGTACTTTCTACTTCTTACATTTGAACCCAAATACCTGTACTTTCTACTTCTTACATGTTGAACACAAATACCTGTACTTTCTACTTCTTACATGTTGAACACAAATACCTGTACTTTCTACTTCTTACATTTGAACCCAAATACCTGTACTTTCTACTTCTTACATGTTAACCAAATACCTGTACTTTCTACTTCTTACATGTTGAACCAAATACCTGTACTTTCTACTTCTTACATGTTGAACTCAAATACCTGTACTTTCTACTTCTTACATGTTGAACACAAATACCTGTACTTTCTACTTCTTACATGTTGAACTCAAATACCTGTACTTTCTCTTCTTACACTCTTACATGTTGAACTCAAATACCTGTACTTTCTACTTCTACATGTTGAACTCAAATACCTGTACTTTCTACTTCTTACATGTTGAACTCAAATACCTGTACTTTCTACTTCTTACATGTTGAACTCAAATACCTGTACTTTCTACTTCTTACATGTTGAACACAAATACCTGTACTTTCTACTTCTTACATGTTGAACCCAAATACCTGTACTTTCTACTTCTACATGTTGAACACAAATACCTGTACTTTCTACTCTTACATGTTGAACACAAATACCTGTACTTTCTACTTCTTACATGTTGAACACAAATACCTGTACTTTCTACTTCTTACATGTTGAACACAAATACCTGTACTTTCTACTTCTTACATGTTGAACCAAACACCTGTACTTTCTACTTCTTACATGTTGAACAAATACCTGTACTTTCTACTTCTTACATGTTGAACTCAAATACCTGTACTTTCTACTTCTTACATGTTGAACCAAATACCTGTACTTTCTCTTCTACTTCTTACATGTTGAACTCAAATACCTGTACTTTCTACTTCTCACATGTTGAACTCAAATACCTGTACTTTCTACTTCTTACATGTTGAACTCAAATACCTGTACTTTCTACTCTTACATGTTGAACTCAAATACCTGTACTTCTACTTCTTACATGTTGAACACAAATACCTGTACTTCTACTTCTTACATGTTGAACTCAAATACCTGTACTTTCTACTTCTCACATGTTGAACTCAAATACCTGTACTTTCTACTTCTTACATGTTGAACACAAATACCTGTACTTTCTACTTCTCACATGTTGAACACAAATACCTGTACTTTCTACTTCTCACATGTTGAACTCAAATACCTGTACTTTCTACTTCTTACATGTTGAACACAAATACCTGTACTTTCTACTTCTTACATGTTGAACACAAATACCTGTACTTTCTACTTCTTACATGTTGAACACAAATACCTGTACTTTCTACTTCTTACATGTTGAACACAAATACCTGTACTTTCTACTTCTTACATGTTGAACTCAAATACCTGTACTTTCTACTTCTTACATGTTGACACAAATACCTGTACTTTCTACTTCTTACATGTTGAACACAAACCTGTACTTTCTACTTCTTACATGTTGAACTCAAATACCTGTACTTTCTACTTCTTACATGTTGAAACACAATACCTGTACTTTCTACTTCTTACATGTTGAACCAAATACCTGTACTTCTCTACTTCTTACATGTTGAACACAAATACCTGTACTTTCTACTTCTTACATGTTGAACACAAAAACCTGTACTTTCTACTTCTTACATGTTGAACCCAAATACCTGTACTTTCTACTTCTCACATGTTGAACACAAATACCTGTACTTTCTACTTCTTACATGTTGAACTCAAATACCTGTACTTTCTACTTCTTACATGTTGAACAAACACCTGTACTTTCTACTTCTTACATGTTGAACTCAAATACCTGTACTTTCTACTTCTCACATGTTGAACACAAATACCTGTACTTTTACTTCTTACATGTTGAACTCAAATACCTGTACTTTCTACTTCTTACATGTTGAACACAAATACCTGTACTTTCTACTTCTCACATGTTGAACTCAAATACCTGTACTTTCTACTTCTTACATGTTGAACTCAAATACCTGTACTTTCTACTTCTACATGTTGAACTCAAGTACCTGTACTTTCGAGTTCAACATGTTGAACTCAAATACCTGTACTTTCTACTTCTTACATGTTGAACACAAATACCTGTACTTTCTACTTCTTACATGTTGAACTCAAATACCTGTACTTTCTACTTCTCACATGTTGAACTCAAATACCTGTACTTTCTACTTCTTACATGTTGAACTCAAATACCTGTACTTTCTACTTCTTACATGTGAACTCAAATACCTGTACTTTCTACTTCTTACTGTTGAACACAAATACCTGTACTTTCTACTTCTTACATGTTGAACTCAAATACCTGTACTTTCTACTTCTTACATGTTGAACTCAAATACCTGTACTTTCTACTTCTTACATGTTGAACACAAATACCTGTACTTTCTACTTCTTACATGTTGAACTCAAATACCTGTACTTTCTACTTCTTACATGTTGAACTCAAATACCTGTACTTTCTACTTCTTACATGTTGAACACAAATACCTGTACTTTCTACTTCTTACATGTTGAACTCAAATACCTGTACTTTCTACTCTTACATGTTGAACACAAATACCTGTACTTTCTACTTCTACATGTTGAACTCAAATACCTGTACTTTCTACTTCTTACATGTTGAACACAAATACCTGTACTTTCTACTTCTTACATGTTGAACAAATACCTGTACTTTCTACTTCTTACATGTTAAACAAATACCTGTACTTTCTACTTCTTACATGTTGAACCAAATACCTGTACTTTCTACTTCTTACATGTTGAACACAATACCTGTACTTTCTACTTCTTACATGTTGAACTCAAATACCTGTACTTTCTACTTCTTCACATGTTGAACACAAACCTGTACTTTCTACTTCTTACATGTTGAACTCAAATACCTGTACTTTCTACTTCTCACATGTTGAACACAAATACCTGTACTTTCTACTTCTTACATGTTGAACTCAAATACCTGTACTTTCTACTTCTTACACTTTGAACACAAATACCTGTACTTTCTACTTCTTACATGTTGAACTCAAATACCTGTACTTTCTACTTCTTACATGTTGAAACCAAATACTGTACTTTCTACTTCTACACTTGAACACAAATACCTGTACTTTCTACTTCTACATGTTGAACTCAAATACCTGTACTTTCCTACTTCTTACATGTTAAAACCCAATACCTGTACTTTCTACTTCTTACATGTTAAAACCCAAATACCGTACTTTCTACTTACACTTTGAACATCAAATACTGTACTTTCTACTTCTACATGTGAACTCAATACCTGTACTTTCTACTTCTTCATGTTGAACACAAATACCTGTACTTTCTACTTCTTACATGTTGAACTCAAATACCTGTACTTTCTACTTCTCACATGTGAACTCAAAATACCTGTACTTTCTACTTCTTACATGTTGAACTCAAATACCTGTACTTTCTACTTCTTACATGTTGAACTCAAATACCTGTACTTTCTACTTCTTACATGTTGAACTCAAATACCTGTACTTTCTACTTCTTACATGTTGAACACAATACCTGTACTTTCTACTTCTTACATGTTGAACTCAAATACCTGTACTTTCTACTTCTTACATGTTGAACTCAAATACCTGTACTTTCTACTTCTTACATGTTGAACTCAAATACCTGTACTTTCTACTTCTTACATGTTGAACTCAAATACCTGTACTTTCTACTTCTTACATGTTGAACTCAAATACCTGTACTTTCTACTTCTTACATGTTGAACTCAAATACCTGTACTTTCTACTTCTTACATGTTGAACTCAAATACCTGTACTTTCTACTTCTTACATGTTGAACTCAAATACCTGTACTTTCTACTTCTTACATGTTGAACTCAAATACCTGTACTTTCTACTTCTCATGTTGAACTCAAATACCTGTACTTTCTACTTCTTACATGTTGAACTCAAATACCTGTACTTTCTACTTCTTACATGTTGAACACAAATACCTGTACTTTCTACTTCTTACATGTTGAACTCAAATACCTGTACTTTCTACTTCTTACATGTTGAACACAAACCTGTACTTTCTACTTCTTACATGTTGAACTCAAATACCTGTACTTTCTACTTCTCACATGTTGAACACAAATACCTGTACTTTCTACTTCTTACATGTTGAACTCAAATACCTGTACTTTCTACTTCTTACATGTTGAACTCAAATACCCTGTACTTTCTACTTCTTACATGTTGAACACAAATACCTGTACTTTCTACTTCTTACATGTTGAACTCAAATACCTGTACTTTCTACTTCTTACATGTTGAACTCAAATACCTGTACTTTCTACTTCTTACATGTTGAACAAATACCTGTACTTTCTACTTCTACATGTTGAACTCAAATACCTGTACTTTCTACTTCTTACATGTTGAACTCAAATACCTGTACTTTCTACTTCTCACATGTTGAACAAATACCTGTACTTTCTACTTCCTTACATGTTGAACACAAATACCTGTACTTTCTACTTCTTACATGTGGAACTCAAATACCTGTACTTTTCTACTTCTACATGTTGAACACAAATACCTGTACTTTCTACTTCTTACATGTTGAACACAAATACTGTACTTTCTACTTCTTACATGTTGAACTCAAATACCTGTACTTCTACTTCTTCACATGTTGAACCAAATACCTGTACTTCTACTTCTTACATGTTGAACTCAAATACCTGTACTTTCTACTTCTCACATATTGAACTACAAATACCCTGTACTTTCTACTTCTTACATGTTGAACACAAATACCTGTACTTTCTACTTCTACATGTTGAACACAAATACCTGTACTTTTCTACTTCTTCATGTTGAACTCAAATACTTGTACTTTCTACTTCTCTCATTTTCCAAACAGCTGGTTCCTTTAGTCTGAATGTGTGTTTGGTGCGTGATCATTATTCTTTAGAGTCATTGCGTGCCTATTGATTTGAACACGATCCGTGTATCCATCATTTCCTGGTCTTCTCTAAAGAAGAGGGACCAATGGAAACGTTGTCATGTTGCCGTTGTTCAGCATGGAAACATTCATTAGCTAACAATGACATTATTGTTCTATTAATATAAAGGGAGGTCAGGTACTCTTTAAAGCAGCTGCTAGTTATGGGTACTTTTTACTGAAGTACATTTCAAAGCCTCTTTACTTTCACTTGAGTAAAGAAGTTTAGTCAGTACTTCTACTTTCACCAGAGTATTTTTAAACACGAGTATCTGTACTTGTACTTGAGTAAAGGATGTGTGTACTTGTACTTGAGTAAAGGATGTGTGTACTTCTACTTGAGTAAAGGATGTGTGTACTTGTACTTGAGTAAAGGATGTGTGTACTTCTCTGTTGCTCAGCCTGTCAGACGCTGGCGGTGTCGCAGCTGGACTCCGTCATCATCGCCCCGACGTGGCCCCTGGCTGAGGGCGAGAACCAGAGCTTGGCCCACCTGCAGCCGGCCTGGGAGGAGCTGGAGTCTCTGGTCCGGAGCCAGAGGATCGCTGCCATCGGCACCTCGGACCTGGACAAAGACCTGCTGGAGCAGCTCTACACCTGGGCTCAGGTGAGGGTCTCAACCTCAGTCTATTTCAATCAATCAAATGAACACTTATCTGACCGTCCGTGACACGGGGCTGACGCTAAGAGAGCTTTATCGTTATATCCATGGACTGTTCCAAAGAAAACTATTTATACAAGACGTCTGAAAGGCAGAGAGAAAGGCAGCATTACTTTGTGCAATGATATTGTAATATATTATAAATGGAACGTTCAAAGAAAAATAAATATGAACTGCATGTATGGAAGATGCTTGTAAGATAAGAATGATATCACAACTGTCTTATAACCACAGTTATACACACAACATGAGCATTAAACAAACCATCATGCTCTTACTTTGAAATCATGCGGAAATGTCCTCATCAGCAGGCCATCACGTGGTTTCCGAAAAATAACCGAGTGACACGAGTAGATTTTAGCCGAGACCGGCCGAAAATATGTCTCAAAATTCCGTGTGTGTAAAAAGACGATCCGTGAACAGATTTGAGATCCGTGAACAGAGATTTGAGATCCGTGAACAGAGATTTGAGATCCGCAAGCGCATTTTTGGTCCACAAATACAAAATGGATTCACAAATGCCTGATCGAAAGGTGTAAATGTTAAAGAGATATTCACAGATCTTTTTTTTATTTGTGAAGCTATTTAGCGTATTTGCAGATCCGTTTTACACTTGCAAATGTATTTGTGAGTTTGCAAATCTTTTAAATGCATTTGTGGATGTTGTTTTACATTTACAAATCACATATTTACACACAAATTATTTTTATGTTCACACAAATAATTATGAGACATATCTATGCCCATAGGTTACCAACGTAAGCCTGTTCTGACATTCGGTGATATTTTTTCGGTGCTAAAACCCTTTCGGCCGAAAGGGCCTTTTTAACCATTTTCGGCCGATAATTTTCGGTGGCCGAATATTCGGTGCATCCCTAATTTATTTCCTTTTACCATACATAATATTACGTTTCACACAATACCTTAGCCAATGTTTGTAATCCTGTGTTTGCGTGTGTGTGTGGTCAGAAACAGTTTGGCTTTCCGGGGGAACCTGAATCCACAAACATTGGTTCCTACCTTTTCCCCACAGTGTTAATTGGCTCCTACAGATGTAATTGAACATTTCACCTTGGACTAACACTTAAACATTTAATTTACCAGAAATTCAAACAATTTTCCAAAATCCAGATCATTGTCTGTTCAGCTATTTAATCAGGTGGTGTGACCGTGACCCAAAAGCAGGTAGGAATGTTTTTGTACGATAAGCTGTGTGCCGCTCTGTGATGTTGCCCATGATAAGTCCTGAGGCCTGTGTTTCTCTCCGCTCCAGGTGAAGCCCAGCAGTAACCAGGTGAACCTGGCCTCCTGCTGTGTGATGCCTCCAGACCTCACTGCCTTCGCTAAGGAGTTCGACATCCAGCTGCTCACACACAACGACCCCAAAGGTACAAATCAAGTTATTCTTTACTATTTGAAAGGTCACCTATTACGGAAAAATGCCTTTTATATACAGTTGTGGTCAAAAGTTTGCACACACTTGTCAAGAACATGTATTTCATGACAGTCTTGACTTTTCAATCATTTCTACAACTCTTATTTTTGGGGACCCAGAGGATTTGATCACATTTTCAGAAGAGCCATTATAAATTCATAAAAGATCCAAACTTCATGATTTTAGTTTTGTGACAAAGTAGTACGTGCTCCAATCTCTCTATAACAGAAAAATAAGAGTTGTAGAAATTATTGAAATACATGTTCTTTACAAGTGTATGTAAACTTTTAACCACAACTGTACATACATATGTGTCCCTGGTGTGTCAGGCTCCTCTTATGGCGCATTTCCAATACAGCGCGGTTTAAGCGTGCCGTGCCAAACCCGGCCCGTTTTTTGTTGCGTTTCCACTCGGCGTAGTTCCGGCTAGCGGGTACTTTTTCACAGTTTTCTGGCTCTCTAAAATCCAGGTTCTTTCTGGGCCAACAACCGGGCTGAGTCGGGCTGAGTATGCTAAACTAGTGAGAGAATCGCTGGCAACTACAACAAAATGAACATATTTGACCGTGATTTAATTGTAATACACGTTTCCAAATGTTGCCGAAGTAACAACATACTGATACCGGTTAGTAACAACCATGAATTAATGCTTCGACAAGTCTGCAGACAGACGGCAGGCGAAACACCTTTTAAAATGCGTGTTTTCTGAATGGAGATTGGCTAAGCTAACGCAGTATATGCTCCGACCGTCCACACTCACAACAACGGCCTACAGACATAAATAAAGCAGCGACTGTATTCGCCATGACACAGACAGTCTGTGGTTTGTACTTGTTTCACTTCTGTCTAGTTTCTGAACAGATATGAGGAGCTGTGAGCTCTGAGGGCTAAGAGCTAACGGCTGATGTTGGTTTTGTGGTTCACATTGAAGATGACGTCACGGCTCCGCCTACACTGCGTTACTATAGTTACCGCCCCAGTTCCTAAACTGTAATGGAAACGCAGCATAAAGTGAGCCTGGCCTAACAAGGCATAGCCATACCGTACTAAGCCGAGCGAGGCCCTGCAGTGAAAAAGTGCCTTAAGTGTCAGAAAATAAAACCCTCTCTCTTTCCCTCCGTACCCACATCTCTAAAAACGGGGGAACAACGGAGCTGATCCAGATTTAGGGGTGTTTGAGGCTAGAATGCATGATCTGTTTGGTATTTTGAGCAAAACACTTCAGAGACATGGTTTTTATATATGAGACCTGTAATATATGCCTAAAAATAGCATAATAGGAGACCTTTAAGTCAGATGGGTTTAAAGGGACTGTCGTGGCTTCCTTCCTTGTTTTTCTATCAAGCCACTAGACGCCTTAAACAGACATTTTTAACTTGTTTTCTTTCCTTTATATTTGTGTTTGTGTAATGATATACATATGTAGGCATGTAGGGCTAACAAAGGCAGGGTTACATCACACTATCAGGGTCTTTGGGCCACTTTGTCCATGATTGACCTCTTTTAAATTCTCTGTCCTGTTTTCCCGTGAGTTTTAAACGGCTCCATCTCCTCTTGCTTCCTCAGAGCTCATGTCAGCGGCCACCTTCCAGGAGGCGGTGCAGGAGGGAACGCAGGATCTGAGCGCCGCCATCTGGAGGCTGGAGTGGGTGCTGCGCTACTCCATCATCGTGAAGAGCCGGGGAATCATCAAGGCTAAAGGCTACCTGGTCAGTGCAGGGAAGGAGAGCCAGTAGCACCACCACCACAGAAGAAGAAGAAGAAGACATGGATGAAGCCATTTTCCTCCATAAACACACAACATTCAAAGTCACCGCTCTGAATAATGGATGCTGCCAATTAAACAGTCCCAAAAGTCATTGTTTATCCTACAGAGAAGCATCAAGTGTGATTCATTTGAACTGTATTCATTCCCAGTGAGATCAAGAGACTGTGAAGACTTCAGCAGATTAGAGTCAATGCTGCTTTTAACATGAAAAATAGTGGTTGCTAAATGTTTATGATCGTTCCTTAACCTATTTCTGACTGTAAGTGCCTCTCGTCTACTTTCTCTCTGTCCTCACACCTGCTTCGTCTCAACTGCATCTGGTGAATCAAGCTAAAGGTATAGATGTATTGTTTTGTACCACAGAGTGATCAGACAACTCGGATTTAATTCATGTCATAGAGTGCCGCAGTGACGCGTCCTAAAACTCGGAAGTAAGTTAGCATTTTACCACTTCCGGTTCCTTCGCCAAAAAGCAATGGGATTTCTCCATAGGGTTTAGGAAACTATCTGGAACTAAGGTCTGTGGTTGAGACGCATTGAAGAGACGGATCACGTTTTGTTCTACGACATTAAATCATCAGCAGTGACCCCACTGGTGATTTCTGAAGAGTTGACGTGTCTGAAAAACGATGGTTGTTACCAAGTGGCTGAATAGGACTACAGAAGTTGTCCAGGCCGTTGTGCGTCATTACGCCGAACACGTGAACACTCCTCTAAGTTAGTTTCTGTTCTGCTTGAAAGCAAGTCCCTGCCTCCTGCAGACTGTTCAAACAAACACTTCAACTCGTACCATTTATAATCTGTATGTTTGAATATGGATCTTAAGTCGGCGTGACGTTGAAGCAGCGACCCTGCTGTAGTTCCTTTATAGCATAACGTTAGCATTTAGCTTCTAGCGACTAGATTTATGATTATAAAAGTAGGATAGACATGTGGAGATTATCCGACTGAACAAAACGTGAGCCGTCTCTTAAATGTGTCTCAACCACAGACCTTATTTCCAGCTATTTTCCAAAATCCTATGGAGAAATTGAATTGCGTTTTTGTCGAGGTAACCGGAGGGAGTATACCGGGTTTTAGGACGCGTCAATGTGGCGCTCTATAGGACATTTAATTCCTGCTTTAACAACATATGGGTCATTCTACAGAAAAGGTGGAATCTGGGTGATACAAATCTGCTGAAATATATTCCTTCTAAAACCTGTTAAATAGCAATAACTAACTCTTAACTTGATGAATCCACAATAAGTAGAGCTTAAAGTATTTGTATACTTTATACAAAGCTTATTTGTATAGGAATGTTACGTGTTACCAGGAAGAAGAGTAACACCAGTGACAATTTGGAGAAAACACTACCATTTTAACAAAATGGCTGCCTATGTGTCAGACCAAATGTGGCTTCAGTCAATATCAAAATCGTTTAACTCTTCAATACATTTTCCCATTCCAATGTTCACCCCTAGGGCTATGCAATGAGTAACACTAATGACAGGCTTGAAAGACGCATGTAAAATGACACCTTTAACAAACAAAGTAAGAAGTATCTGACTTTCCTTATGTCTTTGTCCACTGCCTCAAATGATCTCTTGGTACAGGAGGCACTTCAGAGACAGTACATCATTTCAAAATAAAAGCGTTTTGTGTAGCAGTAACACCAATGACGTAATTTTGGGTGACTGACATTTATTTGATATTAATAATAATTTGCGGGGGTTTTTTTGGTGTTATATTTAATGCTTGTAATGTTATGTAAATATAAATTAGATTAATTTATCTTTTAAATTAAAACTATAGGCTCCACTTCCATGTATGATATAACTTGGCATTTTAAATAAATTGCAATTTACGTATAAAACCATTTTTTATTTCGTACCATAGCAAAGACAATCTCTATTTATTCAACATATATAATGAATGTGAGTATTAGGTCAACGTCATGTATTTTGGTGTCTGCAAAAGTAAGTGACAGCACTTCCACCTTTTCTGTAGAATGACCCATATGCGTTCTTCAATAGAGAGAAATGACGTGCAAATCAAATTACAAATGAAGTGTTTATTTTATGATTGACTTGGTGAAGCAGACAATTATGTGCGTCTATTATTTTATCATGCATTTTTTTCTAACCGTGTGTGTTATTGACGATGCATTGAAATGTTTACCCGCTCTTTGCTCGAGATTACTTTGAGGATTGAGAGTACAGCAATATTTTTGGGGAGATTCATATGCAAAGCAGGCTTTCGGCTTCTTCATGCATTGTTGTTAAAGCACTGGAAGCTCTGCGCCGAGAAGTTACAACGTGTTAACTGTGAGGAGGAGGAGGAGTTTTTATTTAAGAATCATGATGCTTGTTTTTCCAGACGAGTTCCAGTCAATCTCATGAAGGAAAGTTATCTGTTGTACTGTAAACATAAAACAATGGTGTCGTATCTGTATCATGATTTGGCTTTAATACAATTTTAAAACTGTTGTTTGTTCTGTCAACACCTGCGCTCAAGATTTAGTTGTACCACTGCATATTGTTTGGAGATACATGTACTTTACTTGAGTACTTCAATTGTATGCTACTGTGTACTTCTACCCCACTACAGTTCAGAGGTAAATGGTGTACTTCTACTCCACTACATGTATTTAATACCTTTAGTTACTTCACAGATGTGGAGGAATGATGTGAAATCTAATCAAGTGTTGAATCAGACTTTAGTTCCACCTGGAGTAAATCCACCAGCTACCCTGCAGAATACTAAGTCATTCAAACTAGCTGCACCTTTACCAGCTTTGAGAACACTTTGATGATCAATCATTATAAAACATATCATATATATTATTCTGAAATGGATCAATCTGCACAACGACTACTTTTACTGTCGCTACTTTCACTATATTTTGATGAGAATACTTTTCTACTTTCACTTGAGGAACATTTTTGAATGCAGGACTTTCACTGTAACAGAGTATTCCTACACTCTGGTACTTTTACTTTACTCAAGTACAAGATCTGAGTACTTCTACCTTTACTCAAGTACAATATCTGAGTACTTATACTTTAACTCAAGTACAAGATCTGAGTACTTATACTTTTACTCAAGTACAAGGTCTGAGTACTTATACTTTTACTCAAGTACAAGATCTGAGTACTTATACTTTCACTCAAGTACAAGATCTGAGTACTTCTACTTTTACTCAAGCACAAGATCTGAGTACTTCTACTTTTACTCAAGTACAAGATATGAGTACTTCTATCAATCAATGTTTATTCATATAGCCCAATATCACAAATGTTACATTTGTCTCAGTGGTCTTCACAGTGTGTACAGAATATCAGTATGACAATACGACACCCTCTGTCCTCAGACCCTCTGTCCTTAGACCCTCTGTCCTTAGACCCTCACATCGTACAAGGAAAAACTTCCAGAGAAAACCCACAGTTTAAAGGGAACATGGGAGAAACCTCAGGGAGAGCAACAGAGGAGGGATCCCTCTCCCAGGACGGACAGACGTGCAATAGATGCCGTGTGTAAATCGAAAAGATAATACATTTACAACATAGGTAGTCCAAATGTTTTCTACTTTTACTCAAGTACAAGATCTGAGTATTTCTACTTTTACTAAAGTACAAGATCTGAGTATTTCTACTTTTACTCAAGTACAAGATCTGAGTATTTCTACTTTTACTAAAGTACAAGATCTGAGTACTTCTACTTTTACTCAAGTACGAGATCTGAGTACTTCAACTTTTACTCAATATCCGAGTATTTCTACTTTTACTCAATATCCGAGTACTTCTACTTTTACTCAATATCTGAGTGCTTCTACTTTTACTGAAATACAAGATCTGAGTACTTCTACTTTTACTACAAGTACAAGATTAGAGTACTTCTACTTTTACTCAAGTTCGAGATCTGAGTAGGCCTACTTCTACTTTTAGTCAATATCCGAGTGCTTCTACTTTTACTCAATATCTGAGTGCTTCTACTTTTACTCAATATCCGAGTCCTTCTACTTTTACTCAAGATCTGAGTGCTTCTACTTTTACTCAATATCTGAGTGCTTCTACTTTTACTGAAATAGATCTGAGTACTTCTACTTTTACTCAAGTACAAGATCTGAGTACTTCTACTTTTACTACAAGTACAAGATCAGAGTACTTCTACTTTTACTCAAGTACAAGATCTGACGTATTTCTCCCACAAGTGCTTATAAGTAAGTACATGTACAGAAAGGAACTCAACCAAGATAACACTCGTTCATATTTTAAATAATAAAAACAAATAGGTTTGGCCAGAAACTATTCAGTATCGGCCGATGCAAAAATACTTGTAATCCAGTGTCTTGATATCCCAACAAATAATTTCCATCACATCCACTCTGCGATCGTTTGCTCCGCCTGTATCTTATTTCCCTTCATTGATTACTTCGGTCTTCAAACCGGAAGTGATAGAGAAGCCAACAGCATGCAAGATGGTGGCCACCAGGAGAGGAGTACGCGTGTCCTCACCGAATAAAAGCAACCCGGAGCAGTCCTCTGAAGTCCAGGTTCGTGACAAACAGAGATGTTATTTAACCTGTGAATGTTCAGAGAGTGTTTAAAGGTGTCATAACGGAGGCGGAGGAGCCCCTGCACGTGCCAGTTAGCTCGTGCCGCAGCAGCTCGGAGTTCACGTGGACCGTCTTTACTTCAGAGTTTGTTAATGTTTTGACAAATGTGGTGAAAGCACAACACATGTTACAAATAACACGGTCCTGTTCACACAGCGTTTAATGACACGTGTGGTCTTTTGTTTATAATTAAATTAAAAAAAGATATTCCGAATTGTGCAGAAAGCTACAGTCAGATAAATCAGAATCCCTTTATCAGTCTTCATTTGCACCGTTACAGCAGGAGAGCCACAGACAGCTTAATGTTACATATGTTACAACAAGTACTAAGTTATGATATCATAACAAATATAATACACAAATAAAAGTAAAAAAATATTTTCAAAATACAAATCCTGTAACAGTTCTTAGGATTTATCAGCCAGGTCTATATTACACAGTTCACTAAACAACTACTAGATTACTTATTGACTTATGCATTAATGTGTAAGTGTCTTATTGTCAACAAGTGCTGTTAAAACAACAACATGGAGTTAGTGTTGACTGTGTAACCAAAGTCATTTCTTCTTCTACCTCTGTTTAGAGCTGCACTACTTTGTAATAAATAATAATCTTTATTTATATCCATCCAATCTTTATTCCAGACTCAAGGTCCATATCACACAAAAAGACAAAACACACATCAATAAATAAGATAAAAAGCTAAAGCGAGCCACACATGCTCACTGTCTGGAGAGGCTGCTGCTCCAAGGTCTCCAAATCATGGAAGAGAACCGGGTAGAACTCTTCACAGGGTTAATTCAAATCGAAATAACATAATTGTCCGAGTCTACTAGGCGACACATGAATTTGTACATGAATTTTCTTATATAACACCTTTCATACAATAATTGCAGTCCAATGTTGTTCTCAGTAAACATCTCCTAAAATACTCACAGGAAACACATCACAAAGTAAAACAAACCATAGAATAGACATAGCAAACATACATTTAGATTAAAGGTGCATTAAAAGGAGGATAGGTGAGAGGTAGCTTCCTAAAAGGCTAACTTGTACAAATGTGTTTGAGTTTTTTTAGATTCACAAAGGCATTTACATTTAACAACTAAAAGCTAAAAACAGGATATATTTATCCTATATGTTTGAATTGTTCCTATAGAGAGGTGAAGTCCCGCCCGTCTACTTCCGCCCCATGGGACCTTATTTCTGAAAAAGCATGCATTGAAGTCAATGGAGAGAGAGAGATTATCTTTCCATCTCGTTTGAATTGTGCCACGAATGATGTTTGTTTGTCAATCTTAAAAAAGAATTTCCGTGTAAAAAAAGTCACATTTTGTCGTAAAACTGTTGAAATAAAAGACTATGAAAAATACGCAACTAGAAAGACTACAGATCCCAGAGTCCCGGTCCCGCATGCTGGCTCTTAGGAACCGACTCACTCCCCTTGTGTGTGTGCACAGCTCTCAACGTGCCCAGACTTGGAGTGATTTTCACCTCTTTTAATACTTTCCACCTCGTTCTGAGAGAAAGAAGTGAAATGTTCCAACGTGACGGCCGTCTGGGTGTGTGGTGCGAGACGGGAGATGCAGTTCATTGAGCGTTTCACACAAAACAAAGTGTTACTTCACACATTTTTATTTTTTTGACTTGCAAAATGATCTTTTAAATTGACAAACATCATGTGTGTAATTCGTGGCACAATTCAAACGGGATGGAAAGATAATCTTTCTCTCTCCATTGACTTCAATACATACTTTTTCTGAAATAAGGTCCCATGGAGGAAAGGGAGGGACTTCGCCTCTCTAAGGTTTCCCTCCACACATTTAATAGATTTGACCATTTGTACTCATAACTAGGGATGTAACGATACCAAAAACTCACGCTACGATAATATCGCGATATATTTTACTTGAATTTTTTTTCTTTATTAAATAATAAATCTGACTTGTGCAGCATTTTAGTAGATAGTAGTATTTTAAAGTGTCAACAATATAATAATCAGACCCTGCAATAGAATACATCAAGTTTCACTTTAGTTTTTCAAGTAACTCAACTCTAACTCACTCACTCACTCACTCACTCACTCACTCACTCACTCACTCAGCGTCACCAAGGTTATCTTTTAGGAATATGAGCACGTCCACATTTATTACGTGCCACTTGTTAGACGCTTTTATCCAAAGCGACTTACATACTCAATACTGTGGACAATCCCCACAGGAGCACTTTGGGGTGAAGAGTCTCAGGGACACAACGACATGCTGACTGCAGTGGGGTTTGAACCTGTGCTCCCCTGATCCGAACACCATCGCTCAACCCACTGTACCACACGCCCCCTTTATAATGAAACTGATTGCTGAAAAGAGTCATGTAAGGAAATAATAATGAATATATTTTATCGCGGTAGATTCTGTCAGTCTCACGACGGTATTGAGACATTTATTTACCGCGATATTCGATATATCGATACATCCCTACTCATAATGAATAGTGGATATTAAAATGTTATGTCAAGGTAATGCAATTAAATAATGCAGTGTTTCCCCTACCATTGTCTTGGCGGGCGCTGCAGGATTTGCTAGCTTGATGCTAACGGCATTTAGCGGCAGTGACTCAACAAATTGCCTCTTAAAATGTATCGTCAGCAATGTGTGACAAGCAGACTGCTTGTTTAATGTTAGACTCACACCAATAGCTCAATATGATCATAACACGATTGCTTTCATATCAGAGATCAGATGAGGCGGAGCTGCCTCCAGCGATAGAGGATGAGGCAGAGAGCAGCAGCACAGGGTTGCAGCAGGTATGTTATACGCTGTAGTCAGGTGATTTAAATGTATCAATGAAAGGAAGAAGTGGAGGCTACATGATGACAAGGGAATACAGTTTGAATAAAAGTAATACAGTACAGTGTAACACTGTACTGTATTACTTTTTAATGTACAAATACGTTGTTACTGTACGATATCTTACAATAACAATAATCCTCAGCTCCTCTCTGCTCCAGAGAGAGGGGGTACCCGAGCAGCACCCTGCCAAGGCAGTACACCTAGGGGAAACACTGCAATGTGTAACACCGTTAAACCAGAGATGTGTTTTAACATTTCTTGAGTACAAGTCAAAATGAAAAAAGCCTATTATTGATACATGTGATCAGTTAAAAATCAGGATGACATTAAAGCATTCAAAATGTAAGTAGAGATTTAAAGGAGTTATTCTCCAACAGCTGAGAGGAGCTAGAGCCTAAATGTTAGTGTCCTCAATAAGAGGAAAGAGGGATTAGTGATAAGGAAACATTTTAGTGTCCCTAACTGTTGAGCCGTTTTTATCAGAGGTGGGAAGTAGGAGTACAAATACATTGTTAATGTACTTGAGTACATTTTTCTGGTATCAGTACTCCACTACTTATTTTTCTAACGACTTTTTACTTTGACTTCTTACATTTAGAACACAAATACCTGTACTTTCTACTTCTTACATGTTGAACACAAATACCTGTACTTTCTACTTCTTACATGTTGAACTCAAATACCTGAACTTTCTACTTCTTACATGTTGAACTCAAATACCTGTACTTTCTACTTCTTACATGTTGAACTCAAATACCTGTACTTTCTACTTCTTACATGTTGAACTCAAATACCTGTACTTTCTACTTCTCACATGTTGGACACAAATACCTGTACTTTCTACTTCTCTCATGTTGAACTCAAATACCTGTACTTTCTACTTCTCTCATGTTGAACTGAAATACCTGTACTTTCTACTTCTTACATGTTGAACTCAAATACCTGAACTTTCTACTTCTTACATGTTGAACTCAAATACCTGTACTTTCTACTTCTTACATGTTGAACTCAAATACCTGTACTTTCTACTTCTTACATGTTGAACTCAAATACCTGTACTTTCTACTTCTCACATGTTGGACACAAATACCTGTACTTTCTACTTCTCTCATGTTGAACTCAAATACCTGTACTTTCTACTTCTTACATGTTGAACTCAAATACCTGAACTTTCTACTTCTTACATGTTGAACTCAAATACCTGTACTTTCTACTTCTCTCATGTTGAACTCAAATACCTGTACTTTCTACTTCTTACATGTTGAACTCAAATACCTGTACTTTCTACTTCTCACATGTTGAACACAAATACCTGTACTTTCTACTTCTTACATGTTGAACACAAATACCTGTACTTTCTACTTCTTACATGTTGAACTCAAATACCTGTACTTCCTACTTCTCACATGTTGAACACAAATACCTGTACTTTCTACTTCTCACATGTTGAACACAAATACCTGTACTTTCTACTTCTCTCATGTTGAACTCAAATACCTGTACTTTCTACTTCTCACATGTTGAACTCAAATACCTGTACTTTCTACTTCTTACATGTTGAACTCAAATACCTGTACTTTCTACTTCTCACATGTTGAACACAAATACCTGTACTTTCTACTTCTTACATGATGAACACAAATACCTGTACTTTCTACTTCTTACATGTTGAACACAAATACCTGTACTTTCTACTTCTTACATGTTGAACTCAAATACCTGTACTTTCTACTTCTTACATGATGAACACAAATACCTGTACTTTCTACTTCTTACATGTTGAACACAAATACCTGTACTTTCTACTTCTCTCATGTTGAACACAAATACCTGTACTTTCTACTTCTCTCATGTTGAACACAAATACCTGTACTTTCTACTTCTTACATGTTGAACACAAATACCTGTACTTTCTACTTCTTACATGTTGAACTCAAATACCTGTACTTTCTACTTCTCACATGTTGAACACAAATACCTGTACTTTCTACTTCTTACATGTTGAACTCAAATACCTGAACTTTCTACTTCTCACATGTTGAACTCAAATACCTGTACTTTCTACTTCTTACATGTTGAACTCAAATACCTGTACTTTCTACTTCTCACATGTTGAACTCAAATACCTGTACTTTCTACTTCTCACATGTTGAACTCAAATACCTGTACTTTCTACTTCTAACATGTTGAACTCAAATACCTGTACTTTCTACTTCTTACATGTTGAACTCAAATACCTGTACTTTCTACTTCTTACATGTTGAACACAAATACCTGTACTTTCTACTTCTTACATGTTGAACCCAAATACCTGTACTTTCTACTTCTTACATGTTGAACTCAAATACCTGTACTTTCTACTTCTAACATGTTGAACTCAAATACCTGTACTTTCTACTTCTTACATGTTGAACACAAATACCTGTACTTTCTACTTCTTACATGTTGAACCCAAATACCTGTACTTTCTACTTCTTACATGTTGAACTCAAATACTTGTACTTTCTACTTCTTACATGTTGAACTCAAATACCTGTACTTTCTACTTCTTACATGTTGAACTCAAATACCTGTACTTTCTACTTCTCTCATGTTGAACCCAAATACCTGTACTTTCTACTTCTTACATGTTGAACTCAAATACTTGTACTTTCTACTTCTTACATGTTGAACCCAAATACCTGTACTTTCTACTTCTTACATGTTGAACTCAAATACCTGTACTTTCTACTTCTTACATGTTGAACTCAAATACCTGTACTTTCTACTTCTTACATGTTGAACACAAATACCTGTACTTTCTACTTCTTACATGTTGAACACAAATACCTGTACTTTCTACTTCTCACATGTTGAACACAAATACCTGTACTTTCTACTTCTCACATGTTGAACTCAAATACCTGTACTTTCTACTTCTAACATGTTGAACTCAAATACCTGTACTTTCTACTTCTTACATGTTGAACACAAATACCTGTACTTTCTACTTCTTACATGTTGAACCCAAATACCTGTACTTTCTACTTCTTACATGTTGAACTCAAATACTTGTACTTTCTACTTCTTACATGTTGAACTCAAATACCTGTACTTTCTACTTCTTACATGTTGAACTCAAATACTTGTACTTTCTACTTCTTACATGTTGAACCCAAATACCTGTACTTTCTACTTCTTACATGTTGAACCCAAATACCTGTACTTTCTACTTCTTACATGTTGAACTCAAATACCTGTACTTTCTACTTCTTACATGTTGAACTCAAATACCTGTACTTTCTACTTCTTACATGTTGAACTCAAATACCTGTACTTTCTACTTCTTACATGTTGAACACAAATACCTGTACTTTCTACTTCTTACATGTTGAACTCAAATACCTGTACTTTCTACTTCTCACATGTTGAACTCAAATACCTGTACTTTCTACTTCTTACATGTTGAACTCAAATACCTGTACTTTCTACTTCTTACATGTTGAACACAAATACCTGTACTTTCTACTTCTTACATGTTGAACTCAAATACTTGTACTTTCTACTTCTTACATGTTGAACCCAAATACCTGTACTTTCTACTTCTTACATGTTGAACCCAAATACCTGTACTTTCTACTTCTTACATGTTGAACTCAAATACCTGTACTTTCTACTTCTTACATGTTGAACTCAAATACCTGTACTTTCTACTTCTTACATGTTGAAATACCTACTTACATGTTGAACTAAATACCTGTACTTCTACTTCTTACATGTTGAACACAAATACCTGTACTTTCTACTTCTTACATGTTGAACTCAAATACCTGTACTTTCTACTTCTTACATGTTGAACTCAAATACCTGTACTTTCTACTTCTCACATGTTGAACTCAAATACCTGTACTTTCTACTTCTTACATGTTGAACTCAAATACCTGTACTTTCTACTTCTTACATGTTGAACACAAATACCTGTACTTTCTACTTCTTACATGTTGAACTCAAATACTTGTACTTTCTACTTCTTACATGTTGAACTCAAATACTTGTACTTTCTACTTCTTACATGTTGAACTCAAATACCTGTACTTTCTACTTCTTACATGTTGAACTCAAATACCTGTACTTTCTACTTCTTACATGTTGAACACAAATACCTGTACTTTCTACTTCTTACATGTTGAACTCAAATACCTGTACTTTCTACTTCTTACATGTTGAACTCAAATACCTGTACTTTCTACTTCTTACATGTTGAACTCAAATACCTGTACTTTCTACTTCTCACATGTTGAACTCAAATACCTGTACTTTCTACTTCTTACATGTTGAACTCAAATACCTGTACTTTCTACTTCTTACATGTTGAACACAAATACCTGTACTTTCTACTTCTTACATGTTGAACTCAAATACTTGTACTTTCTACTTCTTACATGTTGAACTCAAATACTTGTACTTTCTACTTCTTACATGTTGAACTCAAATACCTGTACTTTCTACTTCTTACATGTTGAACTCAAATACCTGTACTTTCTACTTCTTACATGTTGAACACAAATACCTGTACTTTCTACTTCTTACATGTTGAACTCAAATACCTGTACTTTCTACTTCTTACATGTTGAACTCAAATACCTGTACTTTCTACTTCTTACATGTTGAACACAAATACCTGTACTTTCTACTTCTTACATGTTGAACTCAAATACCTGTACTTTCTACTTCTTACATGTTGAACTCAAATACCTGTACTTTATACTTCTTACATGTTGAACTCAAATACCTGTACTTTCTACTTCTTACATGTTGAACCCAAATACCTGTACTTTCTACTTCTTACATGTTGAACTCAAATACCTGTACTTTCTACTTCTTACATGTTGAACTCAAATACTTGTACTTTCTACTTCTTACATGTTGAACTCAAATACCTGTACTTTCTACTTCTTACATGTTGAACTCAAATACCTGTACTTTCTACTTCTTACATGTTGAACTCAAATACTTGTACTTTCTACTTCTTACATGTTGAACTCAAATACCTGTACTTTCTACTTCTTACATGTTGAACTCAAATACCTGTACTTTCTACTTCTTACATGTTGAACACAAATACCTGTACTTTCTACTTCTCTCATTTTCCAAACAGCTGGTTCCTTTAGTCTGAATGTGTGTTTGGTGCGTGATCATTATTCTTTAGAGTCATTGCGTGCCTATTGATTTGAACACGATCCGTGTATCCATCATTTCCTGGTCTTCTCTAAAGAAGAGGGACCAATGGAAATGTTGTCATGTTGCCGTTGTTCAGCATGGAAACATTCATTAGCTAACAATGACATTATTGTTCTATTAATATAAAGGGAGGTCAGGTACTCTTTAAAACAGCTGCTAGTTATGGGTACTTTTTACTGAAGTACATTTCAAAGCCTCTTTACTTTCACTTGAGTAAAGAAGTTTAGTCAGTACTTCTACTTTTACCAGAGTACTTTTAAACACGAGTATCTGTACTTCTACTTGAGTAAAGGATGTGTGTACTTTGCCATCTCTGGTCTTTATTAATAACAGTTTCTCATATCTTTCTCACAGGAAACTCCTTCCACTCGAAGAACCAGGAGCAGAGTCACCGTTAAACCAGCAGCCGAGAGCCCGACCCAGCATGGAGCTCAGCAGGAAACCAGTCTAACTTCCTCCCCCCTACCCTCCTCCCCCCTAACTTCCTTCACCCTACCCTCCTCCCCCCGCCCCTCCTCCCCCCTAACTTCCTCCCCCCTCCCCTCCTCCCCCACTCCCTCCCTGAAGAGATGCACCAGAGCCTCCAGACTGCACAGCCCTGAGCAGCCGTGCACGCCCGCAGGATCCGTGCATGAGGCCGACACTTCGGACGCAGAGTCGTGCTGCTCTGCGGTCTCCATGGAAATACCGATGACCCGTACCCGGGGGAGGAAGAAGCAAACCCTCAGCCAGGGGGAGATCTCTGAGGTGGAGTCATGCTCCTCTGCAGTTTCAGGGTCTCGCCGCAGCACCAGGATGAAAGCCGTGCCTCCGAGCTCTCGCACTGCTCCTATCGAGGCGGAAGAAGGAGACCCCGATTTAGGGAATGAGTCGAGCAGCTCCGTGGTGTCCGAGTCCACGAGAGTCACCAGGAGTCAGAGGAAACCTGCTCGCACCAGATCCTCCGCAACAAAACCGCCGGAGGACTCGGAGATATCAGACGCAGACAGCTGTTTGTCGAGCGCCTCGGCAGCGAGATCCACCCGCAGGAGCACAAGGATCAGGAGGCAAACAGGTCTGTGGGGGGGAGGGGTTTAGTTTATCAAATGTGTGGATTAAGAATCAAACCATTCAGCTGTCTTTGTAGTACTTTATTTCTTGCAAGAAAGTCCAGTCAGACAGCAAAATGTCTTCAGAGCGAAAGACGCAGAGACGTTGTATCAATATGAATCCATTTCTGAGATTTTAGGATAAAATAAATGGTAGTTTTGAGTTCCCTAAAACCTTTAAATCTAGAAGTAGAAATCAGAAAATGTCAGAAATGGATTCAACATCCTCAATAACCTCCAAAAACACTCCATAACTGTCAGCAGTAACCAGGTGAAGACATGTTTTAACTATTGTCTGCATATACTCATTAAAGGTGGGGTAGGTACTTTTGGAGAAAGCAGCTCGAGTGCGCTAGAATTTGAAAATACACAACCGGAACAAATCTGCCACTTCCTTCAGACTTCCTCACAGAGCCCCTCCTCCAACACACACGAACGCGCACATGACCAATGAGGGCACGAGATGAGTTTGTGCCCAGATGGAAGGCTGACAGGCAGGTAGGCCATCCAGTTACTTTAGCCGGCTCAGATGATTGGTCGTGATTTTTACAGCGCCACGGCTTCCACTGATGACATGTTTTAATGTTTTAATGTATTTATTGTCAAAGCATTTAATATATTCATTGCTATCGGGATGTTAAGAGCATTCCATGGAATATAACAAGTGTACCTGGAGCCGGTTTCTCAAACTTACCTACCCCACCTTTAATGCAACTTGTGCAATCCGCCCATCATCTGCAGGTTAGCATCCGGCAGTTTCTATTTGCTGGAGACCCTACCACACATTCCTAACGTTGGGGTCCTTTGTGAGCTGGCAAACAGACGATTTACCAAGCTTAGCAAAGACGTGAAAGCCAGTAAATCGAGATAAACATTGTGATATTATTCAAGTAAGTAAACAAGTAAAACTCTTTTCTGTCGCAGGTCCGATCCCCATCCACCTGGAAGAAGCCTCAGAAGTATCCAGGTCTCCACGATCTCGACGGAGCCTGATCCCCAGAGGAGCTGTAGACGCCAGCGAGCCGCCGTCATGTGACTCCGACGGCTTCGAGTCCGGACCGACTTCCAGTATGCCGACTCGCAGACGATTAAAGACCCGATCCAACGCCTCGGACTCTGAGCCGATGGAGATTCACTCCCCGAGCAAAGGGACGCTCAGCAGCAGAACCACCAGGAGCCCCGCCAAGGACTGCAGCGTCATCCTGGAGAAAATGGAGCGGGGCGACGTTTCTTTAAATTATTCTATTCTGGAAAACACCGTGATCGCTGCGGACTGTACCGTTCTGGAGGGGAGAGAAGAGCCTGGTGGAGGAAGAGAAGAGCCTGGTGGAGGAAGAGAAGAGAGTAGAAGGTGAAGACACTGCTTTTATTACATTAAGTGAAGCAGTTGAGGAAGATGTAACAGTAGGAGGAGAAAAAGCAAGTGTGAGCATTACTGATGTCCCATTGAGCGAGGACAAGGCAGTCGTGGTCATTTCAGACGATGACTCCGCCGTTACGTCTCCTCTGATATCAGAAAGACAACCTGAAGAGGCCGCAGTGACTGTTGTTCACCAGCAGGAGGAGCCGTGTGCAGACGAGAAGAAGAGGGAGGAGGAAGTGGAAAAGATGGACGTGAGCTCTTTGCAGCCGAGCATCATCGTGGAGTCTGACGCTGAGCAGGAAGCTAAAGATGTCCTCGTGAAGAAGACTAAAGTAATCAGTCTGTTGGAGAGCAGCGAGGACGAAGAACAGGAGGAGGAGGAGGAGGATGAGGAGAGGGACGTTTCTAAAGAGGAAGAGGAGAAGAAAGCAGGACCCTCCGTCACACCTGAAGCTGTGGGCGGGCTCTTTATGATCGACACTCGGCCCGGACAGGAAGTGGATGAACTTTACTACAAGGAGAAGCTCACTGAGGAGGAGGAGGAGGAGGAGGAGAAGACGAAGAAGGAGGGAGAAGTCGAGGAGGACGAGGAGTTTGTGGATGAGGAGGGAGACGATGATGAAGATGACATGGATACAGAGATCCTCTTCTCCAGTAGAAACCCTCACCTGTAAGTATGAGAGGTGGCACTCTGAGATATGTTTATTCACTTAGGAATACACACACACACACACACACGTACACAAAACATACTGGTAGATTAAAGGTAAAGGAACACAACAACAACAACAACAAAAATGATGTTGAATCTAAGCTTCCAGAAACAGAACAATTTAAAGGTCACCTATCATGCTATTTTTAGGCAATAGCATAGGTCTGATACAAAATATATAAAAAACATGTCTATGAAGTGTTTTGCTCCAAACACCAAACAGATCATTCTAGCCACGCCTCATATCCCTCTATTTCACTTCCTGTTTCTAAAGTGCTGATTTGGGTATAAAGCTTTAAAATAGAAAAGGAGGGGTCTGAGCTCATGCGGGACCCGGCAGCTACTGTCTAAACTAAATGCTGCCGTGATGAAACGCCATATCATGGATTATCAAGGATTCTCTCTGAAACAGTTTGGAGCTCAAAGGCTTTCTCTCTTGCCGGTTATACCACAAGGTGAGTTCCTTTTTACTTCCTGCTTCTTCACACACATGCTCTCCAGTACAGGTTAGCTCTGAGTGTTAGCGATGCTAATGTAAACACAGACCATATTACGTCCAAAACAGTCGGGCATTGTTTCTGATAGCAACGTTTCTGATTGGGCCGTGGGTCCACATTTCAGATGTTACGTCATATCTAATTGTCTGACAGTATAATAATTCCAGTTTACCGTCTCTGTGCCCATTTTTACTTTTAGTGCAGACACAGATCTGGACAAAAAACACTTGAAGTTTCCGTTTTTTTTGAGTAAATCAAAGTCTTAAATAAAGCTAGTCGTCCAGAATGATGGATCCTAAAGTCGTAGACAAATCCCACAAAAAGACCAAATCCAGAAGTAATAGTGCATCTTTTAATACTTTTGTCTAACCTCCTAGTTGCTCCTTCCTGCCCTCTTCAGAGTTCACGGATGTCTTTGTTTTGTCACTTTTAATGTCTCCTTTAGTTACTTGCATCTACCTCACACAGACAAAGAAACCGTTCTCACCAGATGACAAAGATACAGGTAGACCGTGAGATAAAACTCAAATAAACATCTTGAATGTACGCAAAGACGACAACAACACTGACTGCTTATAAACCAGCTGATTGTCAACAAGGGAGAGGTATTTAAACTGCAATTGATAAACAACAACAGTCTCCAGTAGGGATGGGTACCGAGCCCCGGTATTAAACGGGCCCCGGGGGCTGAATTATTAAAGACCGTGGTACCGTTAAGCTCCGACGTCATCGGTCTTTTTATCGGTACTGGAGACATCTAAAAAATATATGTCGTATGTGTTATTGCTACACAAACATTATATTGCAGTTTTAGTGTCGCCAACTCCGTTTCTAATACGCAACAAGACTGCAAAATGCCTCTATGATTATTTTTAGTATTTTCGATCTTTACAATCCAGTCGAGATCTCTCTCTCTCCGCCTGCTTGCGAGGGGGCGGGGCAGTAGACACACACGCGGAGGAGATGGCGGAGAGAACTCGCTCCGAGGTGGTTAAACTTTCGATGCTCGTTACCAAAAGTCCAATAAGAGTTTATCATGTGAGGGCGGTAACACGAGCAATTTGTCTAAACATTTATCAAAAGTGCTCCACATCCAGACGGAGGAATGCACCGGGGTCGACTGTCTCTCTAGCAGCTCTGTAGCCCCGTCCACGAGTAACGTTTCCATGTCAGGTGTTCTGTATGCTAGCAGCAACACACGGAGTTAACTACATCATACAAACATGGGTTAATGATTAGAGGAAACTGAGTTATTTATTTTGTTAAAGTTTCAGCTATTCTGTTCACAGTTCTGTCATCAGATTATTTAATACGATTTGTTAAAAACGTTGTTGTTTCTTTTGATGTGAAATATTATTTATCTAATTTAAATAAAAAGCAATGTTAATTGTGTTCAAAATGTGTTTAGTTAATTTAATAATATATGTATTTTTGAATCAAGTATTCATCTTTATTGTCTTGCTAGTTTCCACATGCCTAAAACCACCTCAAGCTAAATCTAAAAGTTGATGGCTAAATCAGAGCGTTTGAGAAATTGTGCAAGGCGTACAGTAATAGTCCGAATAGTCGATTAATCGTTTCATTAATCGATAGATTCATCGACTATGAAATTAGTCGTTTGTTGCAGCCCTACATTATACACAATTAAACTCCTCATCTTGGCTCCAACACTTTGGTATCGATCTTTTCTTGTTTTCAAATATACAGAAAAACTTTTTAAGAGCGGAGCAGATTTAGGAAGTACAGCCACGCTCGTTATTGTTATAAATGATCGTTATATTTGTGCCTGAGTTTTTCTCTGTGCATCAATGTGTTCCAGGAAAGAGTTGTCCAGCCGCATTGACCCTGGCATCAGGATGAAGGAGCTCGGGGGGTTATACATCAATTTTGATGGCGGCAAATCAAAACACGTCTCCAGTTCGCTGCAGAAACTGAAGGAAAAGAAGATCCAAGATGAGGTAAATAAGCTCTTCCTCCTTTTGAAGCTGATGTGATGCAGAGGGAATAATAAACTTCATAGATATGCAGGGACGAGTAAATCCAATGACGCACGAGAGTTATTCATCAGTTCTTTGTGTCTTTTATCTGAGTGTGTAGATAGTTTGCAGAGTTTCAATGTGTGTTGTCCCACAGGCAGAGAAGGCAAAAGTACACACATCCTTTACTCAAGTAGAAGTACACACATCCTTTACTCAAGTAGAAGTACACACATCCTTTACTCAAGTAGAAGTACACACATCCTTTACTCAAGTAGAAGTACACACATCCTTTACTCAAGTAGAAGTACACACATCCTTTACTCGAGTAGAAGTACAGATACTCGTGTTTAGAAATACTCTGGTGAAAAGTAGAAGTACTGACTAAACTTCTTTACTCAAGTCAAAGTAAAGAGGCTTTGAAGTGTACTTCAGTAAAAAGTACCCATAACTAGCAGCTGCTTTAAAGAGTACCTGACCTCCCTTTATATTAATAGAACAATAATGTCATTGTTAGCTAATGAATGTTTCCATGCTGAACAACGGCAACATGACAAACGTTTCCATTGGTCCCTCTTCTTTAGAGAAGACCAGGAAATGATGGATACACGGATCGTGTTCAAATCAATAGGCACGCAATGACTCTAAAGAATAATGATCACACATCAAACACACATTCAGACTAAAGGAACCAGCTGTTTGGAAAATGAGAGAAGTAGAAAGTACAGGTATTTGAGTTCAAACATGTAAGAAGTAAAAAAGTACAGGTATTTGTGTTCAACATGTAAGAAGTAGAAAGTACAGGTATTTGAGTTCAACATGTAAGAAGTAGAAAGTACAGGTATTTGAGTTCAACATGTAAGAAGTAGAAAGTACAGGTATTTGAGTTCAACATGTAAGAAGTAGAAAGTACAGGTATTTGAGTTCAACATGTAAGAAGTAGAAAGTACAGGTATTTGAGTTCAACATGTAAGAAGTAGAAAGTACAGGTATTTGAGTTCAACATGTAAGAAGTAGAAAGTACAGGTATTTGAGTTCAACATGTAAGAAGTAGAAAGTACAGGTATTTGGTTCAACATGTGAGAGTAGAAAGAAAGTACAGGTATTTGAGTTCAACATGAGAAGTAGAAAGTACAGGTATTTGAGTTCAACATGTAAGAAGTAGAAAGTACAGGTATTTGAGTTCAACATGAGAAGTAGAAAGTACAGGTATTTGAGTTCAACATGTAAGAAGTAGAAAGTACAGGTATTTGAGTTCAACATGTAAGAAGTAGAAAGTACAGGTATTTGGAGTTCAACATGTGAGAAGTAAGAAAGTACAGGGTATTTGTGTTCAAACATGTGAGAAGTAGAAAGTACAGGTATTTGAGTTCAACATGTAAGAAGTAGAAAGTACAGGTATTTGAGTTCAACATGTAAGAAGTAGAAAGTACAGGTATTTGAGTTCAACATGTGAGACAGTAGAAAGTACAAGGTATTTGAGTTTCAACATGTAAGAAGTAGAAAGTACAGGTATTGTGTTCAACATGTAAGAAGTAGAAAGTTACAGTGTATTTGAGTTCAACATGTAAGAAGTTAGAAAGTACAGGTATTGTGGGTTCACACATGTAAGAAGTAGAAAGTACAGGTATTTGAGTTCAACATGTAAGAAGTAGAAATACAGGTATTTGGGTTCAACATGTAAGAAGTAGAAAGTACAGTATTTGGGTTCAACAGTAAGTAGAAAGTACAGGTATTTGAGTTCAACATGTAAGAAGTAGAAAGTACAGGTATTTGGTTCAACATGTAAGTAGAAAGTTAGAAAGTACAGGTATTTGAGTTCAACATGTAAGAAGTAGAAAGTTACAGGTATTTGAGTTCAACATGTAATAGAAGTAGAGAAAGTACAAGGTATTGTGGTTCAACATGTGAAGAAGTAGAAAGTACAGGTATGTGAGTTCAACATGTAAGAAGTAGAAAGTACAGTATTTGAGTTCAACATGTAAGAAGTAGAAAGTACAGGTATTGTGTTTCAACATGTGAGAAGTAGAAAGTACAGGTATTTGAGTTCAACATGTAAGAAGTAGAAAGTACAGGTAATTTGTGAGTTCAACATGTGAGAAGTAGAAAGTACAGGTATTTGAGTTCAACATGTAAGAAGTAGAAAGTACAGGTATATGTGTTCAACATGTGAGAAGTAGAAAGTACAGGTATTTGAGTCAACATGTAAGAAGTAAAAGTACAGGTATTTGTGTTCAACATGTGAGAAAGTAGAAAGTACAGGTATTTGAGTTCAACATGTAAGAAGTAGAAAGTACAGGTATTTGTGTTCAACATGTGAGAAGTAGAAAGTACAGGTATTGAGTTCAACATGTGAGAAGTAGAAAGTACAGGTATTGAGTTCAACATGTGAGAAGTTCAACATGTAGAAGTAGAAGTACAGGTATTTGGTTCAATGTGCAGAAGTAGAAAGTACAGGTATTGAGTTCAACATGTAAGAAGTAAGAAAGTACAGGTATTTGTGTTCAACATGTGTAAGAAGTAGAAAGTACAGGTATTTGTGTTCAACATGTGAGAAGTAGAAAGTACAGGTATTTGAGTTCAACATGTGAGAAGTAGAAAAGTACAGGTATTTGAGTTCAACATGTAGAAGTAGAAAGTACAGGTATTTGAGTTCAACATGTAGAAGTAGAAAGTACAGGTATTTGAGTTCAACATGTGAGAAGTAGAAAGTACAGGTATTTGGTTCAACATGTGAGAAGTAGGAAAGTAACAGGTATTTGAGTTCAACATGTAGAAGTAGAAAGTACAGGTATTGTGTTCAACATGTGAGAAGTAGAAAGTACAGGTATTTGAGTTCAACATGTGAGAAGTAGAAAATACAGGTATTTGAGTTCAACATGTGAGAAGTAGAAGTTACAGGTATTTGAGTTCAACATGTGAGAAGTAGAAAGTACAGGTATTTGGTTCAAACATGTGAGAAGTAGAAAGTACAGGTATTTTGTGTTCAACATGTAGAGAAGTAGAAAGTACAGGTTATTTGTGTTCAACATGTGAGAAGTAGAAAGTACAGGTATTTGAGTTCAACATGTAAGAAGTAGAAAGCTACAGGTATTTGTGTTCAACATGTGAGAAGTAGAAAGTACAGGTATTTGGGTTCAACATGTAAGAAGTAGAAAGTACAGGTATTTGGGTTCAACATGTAAGAAGTAGAAAGTACAGGTATTTGTGTTCATAACATGTTGAGAAGGGCCGATTGTCGAACCTCAGATTGAGGAGGAACAATGCGGATTCCGTCCTGGTCGTGGGAACGACGGATCAGCTTTTTACTCTCGCAAGGATCCTGGAGGGGGCCTGGGAATACGCTTATCCGGTCTACATGTGTTTTGTAGACTTGGAGAAGGCCGTATGACCGAGTTCCCCAGGGAGTAGTTACTGTGGGAGGTGCTGCGGGAGTATGGGGTGAGGGGGGTCTCTACTCAGGGCCATCCAATCGCTGTACTCCCAAAGCGAGAGCTGTGTCCGGGTCCTCGGCAGTAAGTCGGACCCATTTCCGGTGAGGGTTGGCCTCCGCCAGGGCTGCGCTTTGTCACCAATCCTGTTTGTAATATACATGGATCGGATTTCGAGGCGTAGTCATGGGGGAGGGGGTCTGCAGTTCGGTGGACTAAGGATTGCACCACTGCTTTTTGCAGATGATGTGGTTCTAATGGCTTCATCGGTCTGTGACCTTCAGCACTCACTGGATCGGTTCGCAACCGAGTGTGAAGCGGCTGGGATGAGGATCAGCACCTCCAAATCTGAGGCCATGGTTCTCAGCAGGAAACCGATGGACTGTCCACTTCAAGTAGGGAATGAGTCCTTACCCCAAGTGAAGGAGTTCAAGTATCTCAGGGGTCTTGTTCTCGAGTGAGGGAACAATGGAGCGTGAGATGGGCCGGAGAATCGGAGCAGCGGGAGCGGTACTGCAGTCGCTTTACCTGCACCGTTGTGACGAAAAGGGAGCTGAGCCAGAAGGCAAAGCTCTCTGTCTACCGGGCCATTTTCGTTCCTACCCTCACCTATGGTCATGAAGGATGGGTCATGACCGAAAGAACGAGATCGCGGATACAAGCGGCCGAGATGGGTTTTCTCCGCAGGGTGGCTGGTGTCTCCCTTAGGGATAAGGTGAGAAGTTCGGTCATCAGGGAGGGACTCGGAGTTGAGCCGCTCCTCCTTCGCGTCGAAAGGAGCCAGTTGAGGTGGTTCGGGCACCTAGTTAGGATGCCACCTGGGCGCCTCCCTAGGGAGGTGTTCCAGGCACGTCCAGCTGGGAAGAGACCAAGGGGTAGACCTAGGACCAGGTGGAGGGGATTATATCTCTTCGCTGGCCTGGGAGCGCCTTGGGATCCCCCAGTCAGAGCTGGTTGATGAGGGGAAAGGAACGTTTGGGGCTCTCTGCTGGAACTGCTAGCTCCGCGACCCGACCACGGATAAGCGGAAGAAGATGGATGGATGGATGGATGTAAGAAGTAGAAAGTACAGGTATTTGAGTTCAACATGTAAGAAGTAGAAAGTACAGGTATTTGAGTTCAACATGTAAGAAGTAGAAAGTACAGGTATTTGAGTTCAACATGTGAGAAGTAGAAAGTACAGGTATTTGAGTTCAACATGTAAGAAGTAGAAAGTACAAGTATTTGAGTTCAACATGTAAGAAGTAGAAAGTACAAGTATTTGGGTTCAACATGTAAGAAGTAGAAAGTACAGGTATTTGTGTTCAACATGTAAGAAGTAGAAAGTACAGGTATTTGAGTTCAACATGTAAGAAGTAGAAAGTACAAGTATTTGAGTTCAACATGTAAGAAGTAGAAAGTACAAGTATTTGAGTTCAACATGTAAGAAGTAGAAAGTACAGGTATTTGAGTTCAACATGTAAGAAGTAGAAAGTACAGGTATTTGAGTTCAACATGTAAAAAGTAGAAAGTACAGGTATTTGAGTTCAACATGTGAGAAGTAGAAAGTACAGGTATTTGGGTTCAACATGTAAGAAGTAGAAAGTACATGTATTTGAGTTCAACATGTGAGAAGTAGAAAGTACAGGTATTTGAGTTCAACATGTAAGAAGTAGAAAGTACAGGTATTTGGGTTCAACATGTAAGAAGTAGAAAGTACATGTATTTGAGTTCAACATGTAAGAAGTAGAAAGTACAGGTATTTGAGTTCAACATGTGAGAAGTAGAAAGTACAGGTATTTGAGTTCAACATGTAAGAAGTAGAAAGTACAGGTATTTGAGTTCAACATGTAAGAAGTAGAAAGTACAGGTATTTGGGTTCAACATGTAAGAAGTAGAAAGTACAGGTATTTGAGTTCAACATGTAAGAAGTAGAAAGTACAGGTATTTGAGTTCAACATGTAAGAAGTAGAAAGTACAGGTATTTGAGTTCAACATGTAAGAAGTAGAAAGTACAGGTATTTGAGTTCAACATGTGAGAAGTAGAAAGTACATGTATTTGAGTTCAACATGTGAGAAGTAGAAAGTACAGGTATTTGAGTTCAACATGTAAGAAGTAGAAAGTACAGGTATTTGGGTTCAACATGTAAGAAGTAGAAAGTACATGTATTTGAGTTCAACATGTAAGAAGTAGAAAGTACAGGTATTTGAGTTCAACATGTAAGAAGTAGAAAGTACAGGTATTTGGGTTCAACATGTAAGAAGTAGAAAGTACATGTATTTGAGTTCAACATGTAAGAAGTAGAAAGTACAGGTATTTGAGTTCAACATGTAAGAAGTAGAAAGTACAGGTATTGGAGTTCAACATGTAAGAAGTAGAAAGTACAGGTATTTGAGTTCAACATGTGAGAAGTAGAAAGTACAGGTATTTGGGTTCAACATGTGAGAAGTAGAAAGTACAGGTATTTGGGTTCAACATGTGAGAAGTAGAAAGTACAGGTATTTGAGTTCAACATGTAAGAAGTAGAAAGTACAGGTATTTGAGTTCAACATGTAAGAAGTAGAAAGTACAGGTATTTGTGTTCAACATGTAAGAAGTAGAAAGTACAGGTATTGGAGTTCAACATGTAAGAAGTAGAAAGTACAGGTATTTGAGTTCAAAATGTAAGAAGTCAAAAAATGGTGGTCAGAAAAATAAGTAGTGGAGTAAAGTACTGATACCAGAAACATGTACTTAAGTACAGTAACAAAGTATTTGTACTCTACTACTTCCCACCTCTGGTGATGAAGAGTGTGTGATTTTTTTGTGTGTGCAGAGTTTCAGTGTGTGCGTGTGTGTGTGTGTGTGTGTGTGTGTGTGTTATCCACAGGTAGGGATGGGTATCGAGAACCGGTACTAAGTCAATACCGGTACCTGATTGGACGGTATCGGTATACCGTTAAGCCGCTGGACAAACGGTGCTGCTATCGGTATATCTGTTACGTCTATTTCCTTAGTTTAACTTTAAACCATTCTGGTTGGTTGGGAACCCTAAATCTCATGTGATGTATCCGGTTTGAGACCCCTCTGATTGGCCACTGTAAATGCCACTCGTCATCTCTCTCAACAGCGCTCTTATTATTGTTGTGAGACTCCCGCAGGCATGGCGGACAGAGCGAAGCGATCGAAGGTCTGGGTGCACTTTAAAAAATGTAGTGGCGATAGTGCAAGGTGCGATGTACTCAATGAGTTGCTTGTAAAGGGGGTAAACACAAGCAACTCAATGAAGCATTTACAAATGAGACACTCATTGAATCTAAAACGGTGCAGCGTATTTGACAGCCTAAACAATGTGGCTGCTAGCGATACTGCTAGTGCTAATAGTGCTAGCGGGCTTCAGCCGCGCCTTGTGTAAATGTGACCTGAGCGAAGGCTCGCAGGCACGTTAGCTGCTGCGCACGGGTAATATGTTTTGATTACCTGAGTGAGGTCTTGCAGGCACATCGCCTTGTCTTTTTTTTGTTTATTAACACTGACAGTGTATTAATGTGAGCTCCTACACCTATAATAATGTGGCCTTTCATTGAATGCTTTATAACCCAGTTAAACTTACAGATGTCATTGTGAATTGGAAAACTGCATTTAAATGTTATTAAAGGTCAACGTTTCAATGTATGGTTCAGCAATTGTTGGTCGTTTTCTAGGAATTGACATATTTTAAGCTCAAATACTTTGTTCTATGTTTAAACCTTCAGACACATGTTGACGTGTTTCAGTTCAGCACATCATTCATTTTGTGATGATTTAAAAGTACAATCCAGAATAATATACGTACTATCTTTTTGCCATCTTAGCCTTTTTTACCAATTTCTTCATATCACAGTTTTGCATGATGTCACTGTAGGACAATGTTTTAAGGATCTCTTGTCGAGCTAGGTTGTCAGTTTGAAATGTCTGGATGAAGATGTAACTGATTTACAAATGATAAATGCCTCTTTTCATCCTCTGTCTGAGGGGAAACCCCAAAAAGCATGATGGGGCGAGCCAGCCAAGTTATTTTATTTATTTGTGTCTGCTTCTGAGAAGTTAATGTAGAAGTTATACAGTTATTTCTGCAAGAACATTACAGCAAAATTGACTGTTTAATCTTCACATCTTGTATTCATGTCTATAATTTTGAGCACCAAATGATTGAAAAGTATCGATAAGAGTATCGAAAAATACCGACACCGATAAGCAGTACCGGTATCGATAAAATCCTAACGATACCCATCCCTATCCACAGGTGATGAAGAAGAGTGCGATGGGACCAGACTTTGAGAAGAATGATGCCGTTCCTCCGTACAGCGAATCCAAAAAAGCCACAAAGTTGAAAAACAGAGTAAGTTACTATGCTTTATTTCAAACTGTTGTTTTACTTGATGACACATCCTGCCCAGAATCACAACATAAATCCTGTTCAGACTCAGCTTTGAATCACATTCTGCTTCAAACATGCTTTCTAACTAATGTAACTCTCTGTGTTCTTGTCAGACGGAGAGGGAGAAGTCGACCGGAGCCGGCTGGTTCGGCATGAAAGCCCCGGAGCTGACTCAGGAGCTGAAGGCCGACCTGCAGGTGCTGAAGATGAGAGGCTCCATGGACTCCAAGAGGTTCTACAAGAAGAACGACAGAGACGGATTCCCCAAATATTTCCAGGTCGGTGGAAGAAAACAAACACCTGCTGCTCAGACTCTCTTAGAAACAGACAGTATTCAAGCACAAGGGTTGGTAGTCTGGATAAGTAACTGCATGTTGCCGTATCAAGCTTCTAATAATCTGCAACACAGGTTTTTTGTCACATGCACACTTGTTAAAGCTTAGTTTGGGCAATGGACATCTTGAAGGTCTCCTATTATACTATTTTTAGGCATACATTATAAGTTTCAGTGTAAAGCCCGCCCACATATCCGATATTACGTCAGATCGGCAGCAAATCTGGATCAGCTCCGTTGTTCCCCCGTTTTTAGAGATGTGGGTACGGAGGAAACGAGGGTTTTATTTTCTGACCCTGCGTGAGTTCCCCGACACCGGGGACACACATAGATGTAGAGAAGACATACAAAAGTGCATTCTGCATGATAGGAGACCTTTTAATGCTGCGCTTCCATTACAGTTTAGTAGCTGGGGCGGTTACTATAGTAACGCAGTGTAGGCGGAGCCGTGACGTCATCTTCAATGAGAACCACAGAAAACCAACACAGCCGTTAGCTCTTAGCCCTCAGAGCTCACAGCTCCTCATATCTGTTCAGAAACTAGACAGAAGTGAAACAAGTACAAACCACAGACTGCCTGTGTCATGGAGAATACAGTCGCTGCTTTATTTATGTCTGTAGGTCGTTGTTGTGAGTGTGGACGGTCGGAGCATATACTGCGTTAGCTTAGCCAAGCTCCATTCAGAAAACACGCATTTTAAAAGGGTTTCTCGCCTGCCGTCTGTCTGCAGACTTGTCAAAGCATTAATTCATGGTTTTTACTAACCGGTATCAGTATGTTGTTACTTCGGCATCATTTAGAAACGTGTATTACAATTAAATCACGGTCAAATATGTTCATCTTGTTGTAGTTGTAGCCCCCTGGCCAGCGATTCTCTCTCTAGTTTAGCATACTCAGCCCGGTTGTTGGCCCGGAAAGAACCTCGATTTTGAAGAGACAGAAAACTGTGGAAAAGTACCCGTTAGCCGGAACTACGCCGAGTGGAAACGCAACAAAAAACGGGCCGGGCACCACGGCACGCTTAAACCGCGCTGCAGTGGAAATGCGCCATTAGAGTCTCAGGCTCCTCCATCAATGCAAAATATGATATGAAAAAGAAATCCATGATGTCATACACATAATGGAGCAAGTAGGTTACGGGAATAAGAACAATATTTACAAAAAATAGAACAAGATGTGAAATTAAACTTTATATTTTACAGTAGAAAAACAAGTGTTCTGTAATGTTTACGGACAGATACAGGAAAACATGCCGACTGCAATAACCCTTAACATTTAATATTCCATTCCTCACTCACTTCATGTATATATAATATCCTGCTTTATATGTTGTTACTGTAAATTCTAATTCAACATTTTGAATTAGAATGTATTTCTATTTGAGATGTTTACATGTTGTATTGTTATTTCAAGTCTTTTAATTTCTCTATGTGCAATGCCTTGTGTTTTTATGCTGCTGCGACGCAAACATGTCCCAAATAAATAGGTGACTACTCACAGGAGATATATTTATAAATGTTGAGTGTAATGGTTTGTAACGTGTGTTTCAGGTGGGCACGGTGGTGGACAATCCCATCGACTTCTATCATTCCCGAGTCCCCATGAAACAGAGGAAGCGGACCATGGTGGAGGAGCTGCTCAACGACGCCGAGTTCAGACAGTGAGTAACACAAACTTAAGCATCACAATATTTTGCCTCGTGTGACAGTGAATTGTCAGGGATACCTGGGTTACGGTCGAATTGTCCAAAAATCTCCTATCGTCTTTTCCTATCCACTATTCCTCGACCTCTGAGTGAAACCTCACAGGTCGAGGCGGGGACCCTGGGTTTTTTTTCACGACACAGTGTCTCAGGGGATCTTAATATTTAAGAACCTATTAATGTGTTATACCAGATTAACGGAAATAATCTCGGCTAACTGACGATACAAACCATTTTTACGGTTTTACGGTTGATCCATAGGTTTTTAACGTCTCTATATAAAAAAATGATTTCCATAATTCCATTTTAATGTAAAAATCGGAGAGGAAGAGGTTTTTTTTGCTAAATCTGTCTAAAAAGGTCAAATATCACTTGTTTTGCATCAATCTTGATACAGGGTACTTATTATGTTGTACTTTGGATTCCTAAAGCTTTTAGTCTACTAACCCATCATCCAAGGTTAGTTTTCACTAAGTACAACATTTTTTTTGGACGGACACAATAATTTACAGTTTTTTACCATGTTCAATCTGAATTTTCTTTAAAATAAAACACATCTATATTGATTCTGACTTTTCTACATCCATCTCACAGGTTTATCCTTACTTTGAGAAGAAAGATTATTAATTTAACCCTTTTAGAAGATATGGTCATTTGTTCTGGGAATGTCATTTTCGAGCCTGAGACCTGAAAAACAGGGATGGGGTTCAACAGGTTAAGGAATAGTGGATAGGAGAATTCAAAAGGACTTAGGAGAAGAGACTGCGGTGCTTTGAGAATCCGACTGCACTTTCACATGGATGTATAATAAGTACTGGATACAGCGTGGTAGGCGGGGCCTCGTTCATTCCTATGAGAGCTGCTCATTGGCGCATGATGACAAAATGGCCCAACAGCAGAAAGCTTGCACATCTTCCGGCGCAGACTGAAAACTCATCTCTTTCGACTCCACTTCGAGCGATAGAACTATTAACAAAGCACTTTTATACTAATTAAGGACTGGCTTATCTAAAGCCAGTTGAGTAGCACTTGAAATGTTTGGCTCTATGAAACCTGATGTACTTTATGATTCTGTTTTCTTCAAGGTTGTATTTTGTTGGTCGAACGCACTTATTGTAAGTCGCTCTGGATAAAAGCGTCAGCTAAATGCAATGTAATGAAAGTATTCATATAATCCGTTGTTATTGTGCGTCCATGGGTAAAGGTAAAACTCATGTAGTGCTGAACACGTCACATGAACGTGCCGGGCGGCGCGGTCCCGTGGGTTGGATGCGCGTTCATAATGCCGAGGAAAATAACTCTCAGAATAACGTTATTAGCACATTTGACAACTTGAGGACCGAATGTTTTTAATGAGGGCTAAACAAACGTTCATACTGGGTAGTTTATTTAGTTTAAAAACAATCATCCAACGAGTTACAGATGTCTCTTTCCCAATGTTAGTCAATGGGAAAAAGTCTTTCCGGGCCCAGCGACTGATACGTGTAGTACCGCCGTTTGGCCACAACGAATATTTTCCTCAAGAGTCCGGCGCACCTCCTGGGGGCTTGGACTTTCAGTATCGATTTATTTATGATGTCATGAATGTGCGTCTGCTGCTGTGGGGAAACTAGTTCTCTATACAGCGGACTACAACATGGATGTATAATAAGAACGGCGGACTCCTGTAAACTCATCTAGAGACTCTGCGCTCTGATGCTGTTGTGTTTTATAAACGTGCACAACAGAGAAACATTTATTCCTTATGACCGAGGTTGGAATTGAAATAAAAAAGTGAAGTGAAATGTATGCTTGTCGTAAAGGAAGGTCCAGTGGTTCCTAAGCTAAAGGAGGTTATAAAGGAAGTTTCAAAGCTCCTTTCCTATCATCTAGAGCAGTGCTTCTCAAAGTGTGGTCCGTGAGCGCCCCCTAGTGGTCCGTGAGTATATTGGTAAAATTTCACATTTGAAATTAAGTAATTTAAGTTTTTCGCACTCTCGCGGGAATATCTCCGCAATGGAGCGAGCGTAAGTTTCACTTTCGATTGCATGATATAACCCAGATAAACACCTTCATCACACATGTTGCCACTTGTTTATACTATTTTCAGGCGATTTGTAAAAAACGATGTGTTTTTTTATATTTGTGGAGTTAGGTGGTCCTCGAGTGTTTTTGTATTGGTTAAGTGTCCTTGGTATGAACAAGTTTGAGAAACACTGATCTAGAGCCGGGGTTCCTATTTCGCAGCCCGGCAGTAACACCTCCGAAATAGCTGTGAGTTTATCGTAATATTTGCAGAATTATAAATATATCATAATATTTAAAAAAAAAAGTGTTTAATTTTTGCACCTATACCAGTCATATTATTTCCTCCAGTAGCCTAGTTAATCTTTCACCAGATAACCGTTGAAAATGGCTTTTATGATGTTCCGAGGGATTCGGCGGCTCAGCCTGGTCTCAGCCTCTCGTGCGCACGAGAAAGTTACCGGTGCTCCAAGTAGGAAGAGGAGCACAGGAGACAACCGTTTCATTGCAGACTGTTATGTTTATGTGGGGAAATGGCAGTGCATACATTATTTGAGATATATTTCAAACTCAGACTTCATTTTAAGGACATGTCGGCCAGGGGTGTAGAGCTATATGTTTATTTTATTAGCTTTTCTTTTTAATGACTGATTTTAAATGCCATTTTCTTAATGTCTTTCATTTTTTTGTAAAGCACTTTGAATTGCCTTGTGTTGGAAAGTGCTATATGAATAGACTTGCCTTGCCTTTGTTTAAGCACCGAATTGGCAAAACAGGAGAGTAAACCAGTCTGCCTTGATCTATGGATTCATGTCCGGGACTCTCACGGTATCTGCTGCCCGCAGCTGTTTGAAGGAAAACCTCCTTCACTTCATGAAATGGCTGCAGGCAGCATCAGGAGGCAGCGGGACGTATACTCCGCCTCTGAGAAGTGCAGCACCAGCGCGCCGAGAGCGGTGCCTTTTTACGCACCGCCTTCGCTGTGTTTACCTTCATCAGAACAGCGAGTGACTGCAGGCTGCTACGTGTTAACCACACACACCTCTACACACACCTCTACACACATCGAACTGCCCGATTACGCATGATGGGTGTGTGTGCTCTGCTCAGCTCTGTGTTTGTGTCTGTCCGACACCGGCATTTGTTTTCAAATGACCATGAACAGTAATTGACACACATCTGGCTAACTCCATAGGTAGCCTATATGCAGGTGTTCCCAAAATAAATTAGTTTAATCTTAATCTCGATGTAGTGCTAAATGCTGTCGGACGTGCACCGGAACGAACGTCACTATCATAATATCTTCTGAAAACAAATGCCAGACACACACACACACACACACACACACACACACACACACACACACACACACACACACACACACACACACACACACACACACACACCTCCTTCATAATGCGCCTTCTCCTCGTTTTCTCATCACTGGATTATCCGTAAATCGTAAACAAAACCAAAACGTTGATTTATCTGTTTTCCCGTTTTGGTTTAAAAACTGAATAACGTCGGTTTTTTGGTTTTCCCGAAAAACCAAAAAACGACACCGGTTATTTTTTAAACGTTGTTAATATGTTTTGGATGCATATTGTTCTAGTATTTGTTCAGGCTGTTACATACAATTAGCCTCTGTTGCTACCTGCTGGTGAGTAAATATTCAAATCAGTTAAAATTGACAACCGGTCCGCGATTTTTTTTTAAATGTATCTGCCGGTCCTTGGCACGATAAAGGTTGGGAACTCCTGATCTAGAGCAGCGGTTCCCGACCTTTTTCAACTCACGGCCCACTTAAGAATCAAAAAATGTGTCGCGGCCCACATTCAACCACAAACAATACGGAGGCTAAATAAAGTTCTGATTGGACAATTTAGAACATGTGACACTTTGTAAATCCAGTAGAACAGACCGTTGCTAAGGACTGTAATGACCGTTGCTAAGGAGGATCGAGAAAGAGGTTTAAAAAAAAAAAATCTTAATAATAAATGTTTCCACAAAAATCATAATGTTCTGCAAATTATTTGGCGGAAAATATTGAATTTACATTTAAATCCCTTTCATATTTTATTTGGGCTTTTAGATGAAGACCGTACACAGTTAACAACTATTCTTCTGGCTGAAATACATATTTTTAAAAGTCAATCAAGGAGTAATCTTAATTTAAGGTGTTTGAAGAGTAGATTACAAATTTAAAAAAATGTGAAAAAAATTATTGCCACAATTATTTGGCGGCCCACTTGCAATGCCTTCGCGGACCACTAGGGGGCCGCGGCCCACAGGTTGGGAACCACTGATCTAGAGAATTCAAACGGCACTTATCATGGCTGCCACTTGGGTACTTCCGGGTCATTTCACTCCGTTAGGAAGGTTCCTAATCTAAGGCGACAATTCGACCGCAACCCTCGTGTATTTCATTACTGCAGATATACTTTATATTAAACGTACGATGCTCTTCTCTTCCCAGGAACAACAAGAAGAAGTACCAGCACATCGTGACGGAGCGAGCGGCGAAGGGAGCCGGCCGGAAGAACAAGAAGAAGAGCAAATTCCATAAGAAGTGTGTGAAGACGCCGTGTGATGAATTCTGAGCGCCGTCTCATTGATATTATCCTCCAGAGAAACAGGTTTTTTTGATCAAATGGACCGGTGTCTCCCGAATGTATTGCTGCACAGTAATCATAGTCTTTCTAAATCAAATGTTGAACATTAAAAAAAAAACAGCGACCAGCACAAACATTTTGTAATGGTTTTGTTGTAATTTAAACTCATCACTTCCTGATCACATGGCTATAACATGTAATATCAACACACTGTTCTTTATCAGCGCTACTTGTAAATGTATTTAAAATGTTGTGACCCCAGCATCTCCACCGAACAGTCGAGATGCTGGGGTCACAACATTTTAAATACATTTACATTTTCTAAACTTTAAGTTACTGCTTCTTTTGGTAATCGTGAGAGAAGCAGAGTAACACAAACTAAAGATTTAACCTGTTCCCCCGGGCGGAAAAACAGCGTCTGAGGGCTTCTTAATATTTAATAAACTATGAATGTTTCATATCCATGTAACGGGAAGAAACTCGGCTAACTGATTTATTATTTTTTTTAATGCAAAAAAGCCCCCAAGGTTAGCGCTGAGCTTCTGAATTAGCCACGAGCGAAAAAATCTTAAGGCCGTTGGCACAGAACTCTAGTTATACCGATCGATATACTTATCGGATCTGCACAAACAAGCTTAGCTAACATCCTGAGAGTCCACAGATTAGAGATATAACTCATCACTGAGCGATCCGAACTCGCGACAGGGGAAGCAAATACAGACAACACACGGAGATACGCTCGCCTTAGCTGTTATTCTGATCAAAAGTCGTGTTCAATGGCATTAAAACGAGAAACGCGGCTGAAGGTTAATCCATAGGTTAATCCAATGTGTCTGTCACTTTGAAATGTTTTTGATAATCCATAATTCAATTTGTATGCAAAAATCAGACAATAAAATGTAGCTGCTAATGGTAGCCACCAGAGTGTATCCAGCTTGGTTTTGGCTACTTGTCACTCTCACTCCTTATTTGGTAAGGTGTGTGTGTGTGTGTATTTGGAACCTCCCCTCGATTCCATTGGCTCTGACGGTTAGAAAGAGATGTCAATCATCAAAATCGACCGAGGGGTCAGAGATATGGAAAATGACCCCAGAAGTGTGTTTTCTTCTAAATCTCTCTTTAAAGGTCAAATTTCACTTGTTTTGCATCAATCTTAATACATGTTACTTATTATGTTGTACTTTGGATTCCTAAAGCTTTTAGTCTACTAACCCATCATCCAAGGTTAGTTTTCACTATAAATACAAAAATATCTTTTGGACGGACTCAATCATTTACAGTTTTTTTCTGTGTTCAATCTGAATTTTCTTTCAAATAAAAAACATCTATATTGAATCTGACTTTTCTACATCCAACTCACAGGTTCATCATTACTTTGAGAAGAAAGATTATTAATTTAACCCTTTTAGAAGATATGGTCATTTGTTCTGGGAATGTCATTTTAGAGCCTGAGACCTGGGTTGCGTTCCGATAATCCAAAAATCAGCTCCTAACGTCTAACCCTATCTCCTATTCCTTGACCTCTGAGTGAAAGGTCACGGGGTTAAGGGATAGTGGATAGGAGAATTCAAAAGGACTTAGGAGAAGAGACTGCGGTACTTTAGAGAATCCGACGTGTTTCTGATGCGCCAGCGGACGTCCTGAATGAGCGTCTGCTGCTGTGGGGAAACTATGGAGACTACAGTTCTCTATACAGCGGACTACAACATGGATGTTCAATAAGAACGAGGGACTCCTGTAAACTCATCTAGAGACTCTGTGCTCTGACGCTGTTGCTTTATGCTTTATGAACGGGGACAACAGAGAAACATATTCTTCAGGACCAAAGCTGGAATTTAAATAAAAAAGGAAAGTGAAACTTCTGCTCGTCCCCCTCTCCCTCCGGTCCACATTTATACACATGATCCCAATACGTATGATTGATGGAAAGATAAATCAATACAGATGTATTTATTATAAACGTTAGTCCTTAACATCTATCACTGTGTATATCACCATTCAAACATCTTTTAAAAGTTGAACAAACCCCACACAGCTCAGTAAAGACTGTGAGATGTTGACTTTATTTGATCATTTCAGTAAAAACTAACGTTCATATTTCTCTCTTTGATTATAATACTGATGAACGTTCAGAACAAAGCACTTTGGCAACTTACCACATACGTTTTAAAAAGCTTAATAAGCACCGTAACTTTCATGATATAATGCTGATCGCAAATGCTGCGGCTGCAATGCATTGTGGGGCAGCATTTTCTCCTCTCCTTTCGGTGAGGGAGGTCCAGTGGTTCCTAAGCTAAAGGAGGTTTGAAACCTCCTTTCTTTTCATTTGGAGAATTGGAACGGCCCTTATCATGGCTGCCACTGAGGGACTTCCGGGTCATTTCACTCGGTTAGGAAGGTTCCTAAGCTAAACGGACTATTGGAACGCAGCCCATGAAAACAGGGATGGGGTTCAACAGGTTAAGCAACATGATGACGCTGAATTTACAAAACATGCCGTCTCTGTAATGAGCCGCAAAGAGGAAGGAGAGGATACGCTGTGGAGGACATCTTTTAAATATACTCGAGCTCCTTCAGTCAGGAGTTAGTGTTTCATAACTGCTAATGCCAACAACAAAAACCATTTTGAACTCAATTCAAAATAAATGATTAATGTTATACTACATGTGCATGTTTCAGACATGTCATAAGCAATACAAGTTTTAAAAAATGCTTGAGGGTTATTAAAAGTATAAACTGCTGTGAAAAGAAGTATAGTTTTGTACTGCACTCGTGATGAATGTGAGTCAATGAGAGGAATAAATAGGGAAGGGAAATAAAATGACCAATAATGATATCCTAGCTGCACCAAAGAAAGCCCCAAACTATCACTATGACCTCTCTGTTCCTGCAGAATGGAAACTATGTTCCTTATTGATCATTTAAAATGTCATCGACTGCTTGTGTCGGTGATGAAGGTGTCATGAACCAGAGAAAAGGTTTTTCCACTCTTCACAGCTGAATGGTTTCTCTCCTGTGTGAGTACGATGGTGGCTCTTGAGATGACCTGTAGAGAATGACTTGTCGCACTCTTCACACCATGTTTGAATGAAATCTTCACACATCGTTCATTTTAAAGAGCTCTCACACACATTTCAGTGGAAGACTATGGATGAGAATGACCGTTTTAATTTATGTCTTTGATGCAGGATTACTTTTGCTCCTCGCCTTAAATCTCCTCAGTCTCTCGTGGCTCTGGCTACCTGCTTGTCTGTCTTTGTGTTGAGAGATGAGCTCTTAACAGCTTACATCTACCACGACACACACACACACACACACACACACACACAGCTTCTTTATACCTGAGCCAATTCCACACACAGCTTTAGAGACATTAGAGGACGTCTGCATTTGGCCTCACCATCCAGGAGGAAAAAGCCCAGCTGATGAGTGGGAGGGAAACACTGCTTTGAACGAAACCCCTGCAAATGTCCCGCCTTTCCAAAGGGTAACAACAACAACAACAACAACAACCAGGTGCTTGGAAAAGTGTGACACTAAAATCAAAAGGATGTAAATGAAGATGTGTGTGAGATGTTTACCTGAGTGACCCTGAGGTTAAGGTGTGTGTATCTACTACAGACTTTGAATTGGACGTATTGATTTAGAGTCGTTTAGCGGTGAAACGTCCGTATTGAAGCCTCTGTCGTTCGGTCCCCTTGTGCACAGACATTAAAAGGTTAAAGGTGGTCAACTTGGTGGTCCCGGGTGGTTTTGTGCGTCTGCAGAATCCTCCGGACTCTTCTGTGGATCTGCTCGCTGTAGGACGGACTGGTCCGTAGCCTGAGGGGAAAGAAACACAAAGGAATGTCAAATTCAAACCAATGAAAAGAGTTTGACTCGTATTTACCTGCCTTCATTTAGGCTGACACATAGGTTTGCTTTGATAGGAACAATTATATTGATGTCCAATAAAAAGTCATAAAATAGTTGCTGAAATAAAAAAGGCTTAGTAAGTCAAGAATATCAATGTATGTCTAAAAAAAACCTCAATCGTTTAGCATGTTGACAATATTAGTCAAATGTCAAAGTGTAGTATGTTGAAAAGAGTCATGGTATACTATGTTGAAAGTATCAGAAGTATGTCGTAAATCAGGGGGGTCAAACTCAAATACACAGTGGGCCAACATTTTAAAACCGGTACTACAGGGTGTCCGCGGGGTCTTAACAAGTATTACAAGTTGATAAATACATTTAGCGAAAATGAAGCCTATTAAAAAGTATTAAAGGGCATTTTCCAAGGTGTTACATTTTGTAGCTTGTTTTCAATAAGTATATAAAGTGTCCAAAGAGGTTGTGTTCTACAGTGTGCCTGAATGTAATCATGGCGTAGGTGTGTAGTGTGATTCTGTGTAGTTTATTGATGGCATCCCGTTGGGTTTGACGTCATCTGAACAGGACATCGCACGCTCACTGCTTGATAGCGCGAAGGTCCGTTTACGCCGGTTGTTAAACAACATCGTTATGGGGAAATGCAAGTCTGCGTCCAAATGGTTGGAAGATAAGGAGGAAGGACAATCAATACTGTATATAGTCAATGTGAGGTAAAGTGTGTCGCCAAGGTAACCGGTTAGAACTCCAAGTGGAGATGAGGTCTTAAAATGTATGGAGAGGGTCTTGAAAGGTCTTACATTTGACTTCAGGATTCCTGCATATACCTTGTACATGTGGAGGGCCGGACTGGTTCAATGTTTATTGCAGAACTTATTGAAATGAACTTATTGCACATATTAAACCTGGAACTAACAAAGCTTTAATGATTGCCTATAAAAACAACATTAAATAATCAGCTGCATTCATTTCTTATGGCTCTATCTGCAGCTTAGAGTCATTTCTTATGAGTACATTTCTCCACAGGCCAACAACAGCTTCAACAAAACTATTCCCCTCAAAGAGAAAACCAAACATGCCCTGTTGTCCTGAGAGAAAGTGCAGAAGGAAGCATCCATTGAACTCAGTGTGCTGCTCTGTGATGCTAGCTCAGATACTTGGCATCTCATCTTGGGTGCAAGGTCATCAATGTTTGGGCTCAGGCTCTGAGCGGAGGAGACCCTCAGGATGGAGTGAAGGTGTGCGTGCAATATACCGGAGGGCCAGATCTAATAGGAATTAGAAATTATCCTGCGGGCCGAAATTAAATCCACCAAGGGCCTGATTTGGCCCCCGGGCCTTGAGTTTGACATGTGTGTCGTAGAGTATGGTATAGTATGATGACAATATTGTAAAGAAACTTGTACAAATATGTAGAAAAAACTCATAGTATAGCATCTGCTAAAAATGAGATATTCAAGTATTATTGTAAGTATAGAATGTCCAAAAATATCAGAACAAATTGTCATAGTTTAGTATATTTAACCTCCAGAAAGAACATCATAGTTTATCGTTAAATAACGAGTATAGTATATCTAAAGTACAAGAAAAAAATAAATACTACAGTGTGTCAAAAAACGTCGTATGTTGACAAGATCTGAAAAAAAGCTCATGGCAAAGTAGCTTTAGTCCAGAAAATGTGGATAAATATAAAGTTACAATGGTACATGATACACAGACAAGCAGCACATTAGTAATGTTACGTGTAGCGCCGAGGCTTTGGAGCGTGTGTCGAGTAATCCCCGAAGCTTTTTGAGCCAGTGACGTCACCGATGACAAACGAAGCCTCGCTGCCAGTCGATACCACGTGACTGCTTCAGGAAGTGCTTTAGATCAGTTGAACCACAACGCTCATATTACCCATGGATGTGTAATAAGAACGATATTACCCTTCCTGTACCCGGGCCCGGTGACACGATGGAATCAAGAGAGCTCAGACCCTCACCTATAGAGGTCGGAACATGTCATCAGTATAAATAAATAAAAGCATAAATATAAGCATTAATAAAAGTAGGAATAAATACGGGAATACAGGGTGCAGTGTTTTCAGGGAGCTGCAGTGTGTGTGCTGTGGCTCAGCCGGAAAGCAGGTGACTCACACCTGCAGGGTTCCTGGTTCAACGACTCGTCAATACGTCTTTTTGTTTGTTTATAAAAGCTACAGCTAAATGAGATAATGTAGTTAATAAATGTATACTTTGATCTGGTTTGGCCTTTCTCCGGCTACAACATGGTTAAGTTTACGAATATTATTAAGGCAATACAAATCCCTCTTTGCAATGTTTGCCAGGCTCCTAGGCTTTTCAATCACAATCATTAAACTGGAATAAAAACAATATTGTTAACATGAAGATATGATTTTATGTTCGTTGTTTAGAGTTATTCTAAGGCTTTACTCAACGGGAACTCGATATGAGATAGATCAGTGTTTCTCAAACGTTTTCATACCAAGGACACTTAACCAATAAAAAAACACTCGAGGACCACCTAACTCCACAAATATCAAAAAACACATCGTTTTTTACAAATCGCCTGAAAATTGTACAAACAAGTGGCAACATGTGTGATGAAGGTGTTTA